CATTAATGTAGACTAACAACTAGTCTCTGAAATGAACATATTTTACTGAAAAAAGTTCATAGTAAAAAAATATATATATAATGAAAAGGAGCCCTGAGACTTTCTTCATTTTCAGAAGCTGAGGAAATCTAGACTTGCCACTTTTCTAGACTTGTGTGGGCTTTCTTGGATATATTTGCTTCAGGGTCTGTAAGACAGACTACCATTAATGCCGAGCGCCAGGCAGGGAACAACAAGTACCAAATTTTAACGTATTTTGGTATGACGTGGCCGGGGATCGAACCCGCGACCGCGGACGCTCTAACCACTACACCACGGAGGCAGTCAGATTTACCATGTATGTAAGCTCACAATATAATTACAGTTTAGTATTTGTTTTCCTTTAAAGCTTTTTAGATGCTGTTATGTAAACTGCTGGGCAAATAAGGTATGCAAAATTAATTTTAAAAGATACAACTGTTATTAAAATGTCCCCAGGCTAAATATAGTGGTTAACTTAAACCACTGATGAAGAATTTTGAGTGAGTGTTGTTTTACGCCGCTTTTAGCAACATAGCAGTAATACCATGGCGAGGGACACAAGAAACGGGCTTCATGCATTGTATCCAGGTGGCGAATCGAACCCGGGTGTTCGGCGTGGCGAGCGAACGCTTTAACCACTAGGCCAACCAACATCCCCGTAAAGAGTTGTGACTAGTGCTAGCAAAAACTGGTATAATGGGGGGAACGTCTAGCCCTCATAACTTACAGGAATTATCCCAGGCAGTTTGACACTGATTTGCACAACGTGAAAGTTGATATTATTCAAGGGAGCAAATCCCGCAATTGCTATCATTATTTAACACTGCGTGCGACAACTACGGTAATTTTCTGGCGTTGGTAAGCTGTGACTTCCTGTCATTGTCCCCTCTCCTGTGTCCCCGCATCGACCTCACTCATCCACCGATCCAGCTGGGACAGTGACGGACGTGTTCTGTGCGACAGCGCCGCCACCATCCCCGACGTCACACGGCTTCATCACGCCTAGCGTGTTATGATCTGTTGTTAAACAAGCAGTATCCCGGATGTCTGGCGTGCTAATAACTGAAAATGTTTACTCAACACAAATGTGGAGATGTGTTCCTACTCACAGCGGTGTTACAGGCGTGTTTGACATTCTGGTCAAATGATAGCTCAGTCAACCACAGCCATATGATAATTACCCCCTATTCCTACAACACGAGTCTATCAATTTCTTTTATTCAGGGTACTGAAGAGGCCACAGGCCTATAGTACAATACAAGTGTGTACAGTCACATGGTATTTAGAAAACATTTTCTATTGTTGAACCCATGATAGATGTACATTGATAGATGTTTAACAATTTGTAGATTTGTTGCTTTCAACAATAACCTTAATTTATATTCACGTTGATTGATGCGGTAAAATGGGGGGATATATAACATTCTTAAACTGCGAAAATACGGACAGACTAATATAAAATGATACTCATCTTCTATCACCCCTAAATCACATAACATACAGCAAGAGTCCCTTTGCATGGAGTATATGTGGACATATTTTAAATAAAACGACAAAATCTTGTCCATGTTCACTGGCATTTGGTATAAAAACTTTATATTATTTCCAGAAAGGGGATCATGCAACAACGTATTTCTTGGCCTGATAATTTCTCTCTATTTCTAACAAAACTCTGTGCGTCTACTTGTTTTCGATTAAATCCCGTACGGAATTAACGACATATTTATCTCGCTAGAAAATGCACGAAAAAAACAAATAGAAGACAACAAGAAGTTTCAGATAATTATTTAAAAACAGATGTTTACATGGTTGAGAAAGTCTATTAGTCGTACAACGAATAACATGTGTGTTGGGTCTGGTACAACGTGTTACACGTGTGTCTAGTACAACGTGTTACATGTGTGTTGGGTCTAGTACAACGTGTTACATGTGTGTTGGGTCTAGTACAACGTGTTACATGTGTGTTGGATCTAGTACAACGTGTTACATGTGTGTTGGGTCTAGTACAACGTGTTACATGTGTTGGGTCTAGTACAACGTGTTACATGTGTGTTGGATCTGGTACAACGTGTTACATGTGTGTTGGGTCTAGTACAACGTGTTACATGTGTGTTGGGTCTAGGTTACATGTGTTGGGTCTAGTACAACGTGTTACATGTGTGTTGGGTCTAGTACAACGTGTTACATGTGTGTTGGGTCTAGTACAACGTGTTACATGTGTTGGGTCTAGTACAACGTGTTACATGTGTTGGGTCTAGTACAACGTGTTACATGTGTGTTGGGTCTAGTACAACGTGTTACATGTGTTGGGTCTAGTACAACGTGTTACATGTGTGTTGGGTCTAGTACAACGTGTTACATGTGTGTTGGGTCTAGTACAACGTGTTACATGTGTGTTGGGTCTAGTACAACGTGTTACATGTGTTGGGTCTAGTACAACGTGTTACATGTGTGTTGGGTCTAGTACAACGTGTTACATGTGTGTTGGGTCTAGTACAACGTGTTACATGAGTGTTGGGTCTAGTACAACGTGTTACATGTGTGTTGGGTCTAGTACAACGTGTTACATGTGTGTTGGGTCTAGTACAACGTGTTACATGTGTGTTGGGTCTAGTACAACGTGTTACATGTGTGTTGGGTCTAGTACAACGTGTTACATGTGTGTTGGGTCTAGTACAACGTATTACATGTGTGTTGGGTCTAGTACATCGTGTAACATGTGTGTTGGGTCTAGTACAACGTGTTACATGTGTTGGGTCTAATTCAACGTGTTACATGTGTTGGGTCTAGTACAACGTGTTACACGTGTTGGGTCTAGTACAACGTGTTACATGTGTGTTGGGTCTAGTACAACGTGTTACACGTGTTGGGTCTAGTACAACGTGTTACATGAGTGTTGGGTCTAGTACAACGTGTTACATGTGTGTTGGGTCTAGTACAACGTGTTACATGTGTGTTGGGTCTAGTACAACGTGTTACACGTGTTGGGTCTAGTACAACGTGTTACATGTGTTGGGTCTAGTACAACGTGTTACATGTGTGTTGGGTCTAGTACAACGTGTTACATGTGTGTTGGGTCTACTACAACGTGTTACATGTGTGTTGGGTCTAGTACAACGTGTTACATGTGTGTTGGGTCTAGTACAACGTGTTACATGTGTGTTGGGTCTAGTACAACGTGTTACATGTGTCGGGTCTAGTACAACGTGTTACATGTGTGTTGGGTCTAGTACAACGTGTTACATGTGTGTTGGGTCTAGTACAACGTGTTACATGTGTGTTGGGTCTAGTACAACGTGTTACATGTGTGTTGGGTCTAGTACAACGTGTTACATGTGTGTTGGGTCTAGTACAACGTGTTACATGTGTGTTGGGTCTAGTACAACGTGTTACATGTGTGTTGGGTCTAGTACAACGTGTTACATGTGTGTTGGTCTAGTACAACGTGTTACATGTGTTGGGTCTAGTACAACGTGTTACATGTGTGTTGGGTCTAGTACAACGTGTTACATGTGTTGGGTCTAGTCTAGTACAACGTGTTTGTGTGTTGGGTCTAGTACAACGTGTTACATGTGTGTTGGGTCTAGTACAACGTGTTACATGTGTGTTGGGTCTAGTACAACGTGTTACATGTGAGTTGAGTCAAGTACAACGTGTTACATGTGTCTACAACGTGTTACATGTGAGTTGAGTATAGTAGAACGTGTTACATGTGAATTCGGTCTAGTACAACGTGTTACATGTGTTGGGTCTAGTACAACGTGTTACATGTGTGTTGGGTCTAGTACAACGTGTTACATGTGTGTTGGGTCTAGTACAACGTGTTACATGTGTTGGGTCTAGTACAACGTGTTACATGTGTGTTGGGTCTAGTACAACGTGTTACATGTGTGTTGGGTCTAGTACAACGTGTTACATGTGTTGGGTCTAGTACAACGTGTTACATGTGTTGGGTCTAGTACAACGTGTTACATGTGTGTTGGGTCTAGTACAACGTGTTACATGTGTGTTGGGTCTAGTACAACGTGTTACATGTGTTGGGTCTAGTACAACGTGTTACATGTGTTGGGTCTAGTACAACGTGTTACATGTGTGTTGGGTCTAGTACAACGTGTTACATGTGTGTTGGGTCTAGTACAACGTGTTACATGTGTGTTGGGTCTAGTACAACGTGTTACATGTGTGTTGGGTCTAGTACAACATGTTACATGTGTGTTGGGTCTAGTACAACGTGTTACATGTGTGTTGGATCTAGTACAACGTGTTACATGTGTGTTGGGTCTAGTACAACGTGTTACATGTGTGTTGGGTCTAGTACAACGTGTTACATGTGTGTTGGGTCTAGTACAACGTGTTACATGTGTGTTGGGTCTAGTACAACGTGTTACATGTGTGTGGGTCTAGTACAACGTGTTACATGTGTGTTGGGTCTAGTACAACGTGTTACATGTGTTGGGTCTAGTACAACGTGTTACATGTGTGTTGGGTCTAGTACAACGTGTTACATGTGTGTTGGGTCTAGTACAACGTGTTACATGTGTGTTGGGTCTAGTACAACGTGTTACATGTGTGTTGGGTCTAGTACAACGTGTTACATGTGTGTTGGGTCTAGTACAACGTGTTACATGTGTGTCGGGTCTAGTACAACATGTTACATGTGTTTGGCCTAGTGCAACGTGTTACATGTGTTGGGTCTAGTACAACGTGTTACATGTGTGTTGGGTCTAGTACAACGTGTTACATGTGTGTTGGGTCTAGTACAACGTGTTACATGTGTGTTGGGTCTACTACAACGTGTTACATGTGTGTTGGGTCTACTACAACGTGTTACATGTGAGTTGAGTCAAGTACAACGTGTTACATGTGTCTACAACGTGTTACATGTGAGTTGAGTATAGTAGAACGTGTTACATGTGTGTTGGGTCTAGTACAACGTGTTACATGTGTGTTGGGTCTAGTACAACGTGTTACATGTGTTGGGTCTAGTACAACGTGTTACATGTGTGTTGAGTCAAGTACAACGTGTTACATGTGTCTACAACGTGTTACATGTGTGTTGGGTCTAGTACACGCTATCACACACATTCTATCTAGTCGTAGAACAAGGCATGCCCTGAAAAGGTACAGTAGAAGTTTCCATAGAGCTGCAATGCTGATTCGATGGGCTTGATCCAAACCCTCTGTCCCTCTTTAAGTTGGATGACGAATGTGTTGGAAGACATGGTCCAGGAGGGGCGGCTGATGGCCCACACCCGACCAATGAAGGTGTCGCTCCCGCTTACCCTCAACTCACCCGCTGCCTGTAAAATAAACAGAAGCTAATATATTGTGAAAATGTTCATTACACTGTCGAATATACAGTCAGAGAGTGTTCTGCAGGAACAACACGGCTATTTTATTTGTTTGGATCTCAGAAATCAATTTAAGATATCATCAATTATTTACCGATATCTTTAAAACTTTATTGATATCTTTAAATAGAATACAGATATGTTGAAAACAATTGAAGATATCTTTAATTTCTTATTAAATGTGAAAACGACTTGCCATACTATCTCCCCTCCATATCCCCATCGCCTGTAACTACCACATATGTCTTGTAGAGATACCGGCCCACTATTTCTCTCCGTCCACCCATAACTCACCATCTCCCTGATGAATAGACATTGACCGGCTGTGTTCTAAAGTGTTTCCTCCACCCCCAACCCCGACCCCATCTCCTTTAGCTATCAGATCTGTGTTGCACGCAACGACTCCCTTGTATATTGTGGACACCTTTACTCTTCGTTCACCCACTATCTACCAGCTGTCTATTAGTGAGTGAGTGAGTTTGGTTTTACGCCGCTTTTAGCAATATTCCAGCAATATCACGGCGGGGGACACCAGAAATGAGCTTCACACAATGTACCCATGTGGGGATTCGAACCCAGGTCTTCGGTGTGACGAGCGAACGCTTTAACCACTAGGCTTCCCCACCGCCCCAGCTGTCTATTAAATAGCCAGTGACCGACTGTTCTGTTGTGAGCAGCACTATTTCTCTGATCAGGTTTAGGTTCGTCGACTGTATCCCATGTCACCTACCTCTTTACCAGCGTGGGCGGCGAAGGTTACTGTGAAGCTATACGTTCCATTCAGCGGCGCCGAGTAGATGCCAGTGACGTTGTCGTAGTCTTTGCCAGCGTTGGTCAAGACGTAGTCGTAGATCAAGACTTCCCGCTGTTTCTTGTGACTGTGTGGGTAGCGATGGGCGATAGTTCCAACCATAAATGCCGATGGTCTTACTCCAGTACTAGCTGCGGGAAGTTTTGAGAGAACTGAGTTAATACAAGGAGTTTTGATTTGAGAACTGAGTTAATACAACGAGTTTTATCTAGCAAATGATACACAACATATGCACAAGGAGAAATATATACATGGCGGGTATTGAATAAGGTTTATACATTTTCGCTCAGAAGAGGTTTATGTACAGTGTGTTGACATAAATAGAGGCTTGTTGTGACAAGAAACTGATTAAAGCCAGTAGACAAAGTTTCGGTAGGTTATTCAAGCAAATGATTAGGAGAAATATATACATGGCGGGTATCTGAGATTAGGTTGATCGTAAGCCGTAGGGATGTCATAACCTTGATCTCTATTGTTGTCTATCGATGTTGTTGTCAAAAAGTGTTCCTCTTCATTTAATGAAAGTAATTACTATCTTCGCGAATATGGATGCAAAAAAAATAACTAAAAACTCTGGAAATAAACTTCGAGGATTAATGTATCTTGCACACTGGCTTTAACTTTTGTTACCAAAATATATTGAAGTCAGGACATAAAAGAACCATTTCGGGTGGGCACAACGGGTTCCTATGGATACCTACATCTTGCATAAATATCACATCCTAAAATTTTACAGAGATGTCATCTATGAGGAAATGCAACATGCCACATGTTCTCAGAAAACCTCATATGATATTTGTTTTCAGTTTTGGCAAATCGTTCTGAACACATACAGATTCGAGCCCCCTCGTTTGTCCATCTGCAAATGGTGAGTTATTTTACGACACTTCATACAGGTCGGTGTTCAACACAATGCAGTTCGGTGTCGTGACCCCATTGAAGCCCACGTATTTGTCAGGCATGATTGTTTGGTTGATGTTTAACGCCACACTCAGCAATATTCCAGCTATACTCACCACAAAAGGTTAAGCAACACAAACTTGTAGTCTCGTTACATTCTCATTTATTGAAATTGCAAATCATGGAATGATGCAATAGAAAGGTGAACATATGTACACGCGATTAACAAAATGAAATGAAATGGTATTGAGCAATAATAGACTTACAAATCATCAAAAGCATGTACCCGTGAAACAGTCGTGCAAATGTGCTGCATTGATGGAGCAAAATGTTAACATTAAGGTTCAAGTCAGTTTTGGACAGTGAAGCAGTGTTCAGTAACGCGTATGACCACCATGAGCACAAATGCAAGCCTCTACACGTCTTTGCATTGACCAAATGAGCCTTTAAAGTTGTTGTTGTGGAATGTTCTGACATTCTTTCTGTAACGCCTTCTCAAGGTCACCCAGAGTCTGGGGGTGAACATGGAAACTGTAAACACGACTTCCAATGATGTCCCAAGCATGTTCAATGGGGTTAAGATCAAGTGACCTTGCAGGCCAGTCCATATGTGTGATGTTGTTGATCTAAACAATATCGTTAGCAACTCTTTCTCAGGCATTATCATCCATGGACAGGCATTGCCATCCATAAAAATGAAGTTAGGACCCTCTTGGTTGTACCAGAGGAATGATTACAGGTAGGTTTACATCGGTCAGGGTGCATGTGTGAAGAGTGGAGCACATTCATGCCACACATTTTGCATGTTGTTTCTGAGGATGGTTGTGTTCGGCTGATGTTGTCAATGTTATCAGATAAATCAATTTGACAGTCACTAAAGGTTGTGTATTCTTTGAATATTTACCTTTCAGTAACATGTCGGCAAAAATTGCAATCGAGATTGATAAAGATATTACACTGAAAATACTTGTTAGTTTTTGTGGGGAGTATATATGGCAGAGGTATGTAAATAATGGACCAGTCTGGACCAGTGATCAACAGCATGAACATCGATCTGAGCAATTGGGACACGATGACATGTGTCAACCAAGACAGCGAGCCTGACCACCCGATCACGCTAGTCACCACTTACGACAAGCATGGGTTGCTGAAGATCAATTATAACCCGGATCTACACGGATTTGTGACTTATTGGACCATTACACCTCTGGAATACGACAGTCACAGAAATGGAAGGAACTTCATTCCTGCAATACCATATATCTCACAGACCGGAACTGCGCTTCACTGTGCCATTTCTAGTCACATTTTGAGAAAGAAAAGATGTTAGATGCGAAACAGAGAAATTCAATAATGACATATGGCTACAGAGGCTGTATGGAGCCGTAAGAATTGAGTTAGGATAAGAAAGATGGCAGCGTACATCAATTTGCTGAAAATATTTCACCATGACTATAAAGAAAACAGCCAACGACTGAAAGGCTGTGTTTGGAACTAATGCTGTATTGTGAACACACGTGAATTGGCATGTAATTACAACCTTACAGCAGCTTAACGTATTCTATATAATGTTCCTGTGTTTTAGCAGAGACATTAGGGTTTTCTGGTTTGAGCAATATTACTATTCTGGTAGCTTAGGTATGATGCTATGTTCCTATAGACTATTGTTTGTATTCCTATAACATGTCTGGTAATACTGACTAATTATAGCCTGCACGATCACAATCATAGCTGGTGGTGTCTCTGCATACACACAAACATCCACACGGAAAAACAGACAGCATAGTCGTTAAAAACCATAGGCCCATAATACCTACAATGTTCGTTGCATGAATCACACATACCAGTGAAGTAATCGATTAAGTTTCTCTTAGATGTATAGAAATAGACACGTGTTATATATGACATCAAAGTTTCTCTTAGATGTATAGAAATAGACACGTGTTATATATGACATCAAAGTTTCTCTTAGATGTATAGAAATACAGACACGTGTTATATATGACATCAAAGTTTCTCTTAGATGTATTGAAATACAGACACGTGTTATATATGACATCAAAGTTTCTCTTAGATGTATAGAAATACAGACACGTGTTATATATGACACCAAAGATTCTCTTATAAATGTGTAGAAATACAGACGTGTTATATATGACATCAAAGTTTCTCTTAGATGTATAGAAATACAGACACGTGTTATATATGAAATCAAAGTTTCTCTTGGATGTATAGAAATACAGACACGTGTTATATATGACATCAAAGTTTGTTGGAATAATTTCTGTTGAAGATGTTACATTTTAATATTTGAAATACCGTTGGAGGTGCACACTTCTCGGACAAAAGAGGATTCGAACCCTGAATCAGGGTGTTGACCTACTCTCGTCAACAGTACACTCTCAGGGTGCTGACCTACTCTCATCACCAGTACACTCTCAGGGTGCTGACCTATTCTCGTCACCAGTATACTGTTAGGGCGCTGACCTACTCTCGTCACCAGTACCGCCTTGACCTACTCTCTGGGGTCAGGGTGCTGACCTACTCTCGTCACCAGTACACTCTCAGGGTGCTGACCTACTCTCGTCACCAGTACACTGTCAGGGTGCTGACCTACTCTCGTCACCAGTATACTGTTAGGGCGCTGACCTACTGACCTACTCTCGTCACCAGTATACTGTCAGGGTGCTGACCTACTCTCGTCACCAGTATGCTGTTAGGGCGCTGACCTACTCTCGTCACCAGTATACTGTTAGGGCGCTGACCTACTCTCGTCACCAGTATACTGTTAGGGTGCTGACCTACTCTCGTCACCAGTATACTGTCAGGGTGCTGACCTACTCTCGTCACCAGTATACTGTCAGGGCGCTGACCTACTCTCGTCACCAGTATACTGTTAGGGCGCTGACCTACTCTCGTCACCAGTATACTGTTAGGGTGCTGACCTACTCTCGTCACCAGTATACTGTTAGGGCGCTGACCTACTCTCGTCACCAGTATACTGTCAGGGTGCTGACCTACTCTCGTCACCAGTATACTGTCAGGGCGCTGACCTACTCTCGTCACCAGTATACTGTCAGGGTGCTGACCTACTCTCGTCACCAGTATACTGTCAGGGCGCTGACCTACTCTCGTCACCAGTATACTGTCAGGGCGCTGACCTACTGACCTACTCTCGTCACCAGTATACTGTCAGGGTGCTGACCTACTCTCGTCACCAGTACACTGTTAGGGCGCTGACCTACTCTCGTCACCAGTATGCTGTCAGGGCGCTGACCTACCTCACCTGACCTAGGGCGCTGACCTCTCGTCACCAGTATACTGTCAGGGTGCTGACCTACTCTCGTCACCAGTATACTGTTAGGGCGCTGACCTACTCTCGTCACCAGTATACTGTTAGGGCGCTGACCTACTCTCGTCACCAGTATACTGTTAGGGCGCTGACCTACTCTCGTCACCAGTATACTGTCAGGGTGCTGACCTACTCTCGTCACCAGTATACTGTCAGGGTGCTGACCTACTCTCGTCACCAGTATACTGTCAGGGCGCTGACCTACTCTCGTCACCAGTATACTGTCAGGGCGCTGACCTACTCTCTCGTCACCAGTACACTGTCAGGGTGCTGACCTACTCTCGTCACCAGTGTACTGTCAGGGTGCTGACCTACTCTCGTCACCAGTATACTGTCAGGGTGCTGACCTACTCTCGTCACCAGTATACTGTCAGGGTGCTGACCTACTCTCGTCACCAGTATACTGTCAGGGCGCTGACCTACTCTCGTCACCAGTATACTGTCAGGGTGCTGACCTACTCTCGTCACCAGTATACTGTCAGGGTGCTGACCTACTCTCGTCACCAGTATACTGTCAGGGCGCTGACCTACTCTCGTCACCAGTACACTGTCAGTGTGCTTGTTTACAAAATCTTCCTACTCTCGTCACCAGTATACCGTTAGGGTGTTTACCTACTCTCGTCACCAGTATACTGTCAGGGTGCTGACCTACTCTCGTCACCAGTATACTGTCAGGGTGCTGACCTACTCTCGTCACCAGTATACTGTCAGGGCGCTGACCTACTCTCGTCACCAGTACACTCTCAGGGTGCTGACCTACTCTCGTCACCAGTATACTGTCAGGGCCTGACCTACTCTCGTCACCCGTACACTGTCAGTGTGCTTGTTTACAAAATCTTCCTACTCTCGTCACCAGTATACCGTTAGGGTGTTGACCTACTCTCGTCACCAGTATACTGTCAGGGTGCTGACCTACTCTCGTCACCAGTATACTGTCAGGGCGCTGACCTACTCTCGTCACCAGTATACTGTCAGGGTGCTGACCTACTCTCGTCACCAGTATACTGTCAGGGTGCTGACCTACTCTCGTCACCAGTATACTCTCAGGGTGCTGACCTACTCTCGTCACCAGTACACTCTCAGGGTGCTGACCTACTCTCGTCACCAGTATACTGTCAGGGTGCTGACCTACTCTCGTCACCAGTATACTGTCAGGGTGCTGACCTACTCTCGTCACCAGTATACTGTCAGGGTGCTGACCTACTCTCGTCACCAGTACGCTCTCAGGGTGCTGACCTACTCTTGTCACCAGTACTCTCTGAGGGCGATGACCTACTCTCGTCACCCGTACACTGTCAGTGTGCTTGTTTACAAAATCTTCCTACTCTCGTCACCAGTATACCGTTAGGGTGTTTACCTACTCTCGTCACCAGTATACTCTCAGGGTGCTGACCTACTCTCGTCACCAGTACACTCTCAGGGTGTTGACCTACTCTCGTCACCAGTACACTCTCAGGGTGCTGACCTACTCTCGTCACCAGTATACTGTCAGGGCGCTGACCTACTCTCGTCACCGTAGTACACTCAGGGTGCTGAGTGTACTCGTCAGGGTGTCAGGGGCCTGACTCTCGTCACCAGTATACTGTCAGGGTGCTGACCTACTCTCGTCACCAGTATACCGTCAGGGTGCTGACCTACTCGTCTCGTCACCAGTATACTCTCAGGGTGCTGACTACTCTCATCTCGTCACCAGGCGATACTACTCAGGGTGCTGACCTACCTCTCGTCACCAGTATACTGTCAGGGTGCTGACCTACTCTCGTCACCAGTATACTGTCAGGGTGCTGACCTACTCTCGTCACCAGTATACTGTCAGGGTGCTGACCTACTCTCGTCACCAGTATACTGTCAGGGTGCTGACCTACTCTCGTCACCAGTATACTGTCAGGGTGCTGACCTACTCTCGTCACCAGTACTACTGTCAGGGTGCTGACCTACTCTCGTCACCAGTATACTGTTAGGGTGCTGACCTACTCTCGTCACCAGTATACTGTCAGGGTGCTGACCTACTCTTGTCACCAGTATACTGTCAGGGGCGCTGACCTACTCTCGTCACCAGTATACTGTCAGGGTGCTGACCTACTCTCGTCACCAGTATACTGTCAGGGTGCTGACCTACTCTCGTCACCAGTATACTGTTAGTGCGTTGACCTACTCTCGTCACCAGTATACTGTTAGGGTGCTGACCTACTCTCGTCACCAGTATACTGTTAGGGTGCTGACCTACTCTTGTCACCAGTATACTGTCAGTGTGTTGACCTACTCTCGTCACCAGTATACTGTTAGGGCGCTGACCTACTCTCGTCACCAGTATACTGTCAGGGTGCTGACCTACTCTTGTCACCAGTATACTGTTAGGGTGCTGACCTACTCTCGTCACCAGTATACTGTCAGGGCGCTGACCTACTCTCGTCACCAGTATACTGTCAGGGTGCTGACCTACTCTCGTCACCAGTATACTGTTAGGGTGCTGACCTACTCTCGTCACCAGTATACTGTCAGGGCGCTGACCTACTCTCGTCACCAGTATACACTGTCGGTGTGCTTGTTTACAAAATCTTCCATGATGCACTCTGACTTCTATGAACCTACCTCTGTTTATTCCCTATCCAAACAAATGATATAACTGCTTATTTTCCTCGTAGCTAGCAGATAATGATACAAAAACGTGTACTTTTCTTACCTTTTCCGGGCGGTCCTGCCGGTCCCCGTGCTCCATTCCTTCCTCGTGGTCCGGAGGGACCGGTGGGTCCGCGAGCACCGTTACTGCCGTCGCGACCCCGGGGGAGTTGAATGGGGATACGAGTACCACTCACGCCATCACAAGCCACCTCCAGGCTACAGAACTTCTCGATATCAGGTTTGTAAAAGTCGTCCTTCAGTTTCTTCCTCTCTGACAAGACAGAACGTCCAGCGTCTTCGGACAAGACTATCGTCATTGACCATGTCGACGTCAGCGTCAGCAATATAAAAGAAACACAACTCATGCCTTTCCTTCAAAACAAGACACGCCCGCAGATTCAGTTTTTAACTCGGAGAAAGGCGTATCACAAAGAGATAGAATATCGTATAAAATGTGGGCAAGCCCCAAACTGTTCCTAGTACACACACCAGTTGTGTCAGCGAAGGTCGAGATCGATTTTCACATTGTCTGTCTAGATCCGAAGATCGATAGCGGCCTCTTTTAAACTTTTTGTTTTCGTATTCATTGCACATCTCACATAATCCAGCTCGTATCGTAAGGCCAATTACCTTCAAAGAGCTTGCTTGAAATTACAGGCAGATTCGTTCTAATTAAGTTGGAGTGATTTCTAAGCCACAACGATCACTTGGCAAATCAAATATAGATTAACTATCCCCGGCGTATCAATGTCTTGTGTCTTCGTCGTGTGTCTTGCCTCGTCCTATAGCTGCTGAAGCCACGCTCTACACCATATATAGCGTAACGTTGCTTGTACAAATGTCAATAGTTTCACATACTCTTTTGTATGAATGAGCAAGGGTTAAACGGTCCTCACAATCGGCCGGATGCTGCCTGTTGTCTCGACAACTGGGTAATTAATTTTCTGCACACGAAGCAGACCTTTCATTTTCTTTGAAGTTTTCATGCCGAGATCAATATCTGTTTGTAAACCCATCATGACGTTTTTCAAAACAATCAACAGCTAATGTGGATTGGAGAGTCAGGTTTTGAGAGTAAGGGCCCTTACTGAATGTTTTATTGGCGTTCTAGAAAATGGTGAGGAAATGGGGAAAACATGCAACATTGAGGAGTTCTCGTTTACTGCGTTTACAGACGTTTCCATACTGATGCTTACACCCTTATCAAGTTGGAGTGAAGGTGAGAGAATCTTCTTAAAGTGAGTGAGTGAGTTTAGCTTTACGCCGCACTCAGCAATATTCAAGCTATATGGCGGCGGCCTGTAAATAATCGGAGCTAGACCAGACAATCCAGGGATCAACAGCATGATCGATCTACGCAAATGGGACACGATGACACGTGTCAACCAAGTCAGCGAGCCTGACCACCCGATCCCGTTAGTCGCCTCTTATGACAAGCATGGGTAACTGAAGATCAATTCTAACCCGGATCTTCACAGGTAGAATCTCCTTAAAACTTTTACATTGTTTATCAGATGTAAGTGGCATAACACAGCTTATAGTGATTTACATCCCTATCCTTTCCATGTTTAACATTACCTTAGCATATGTCTACTGGCCAGTGAATAACTGCACATTATATACTTACATGAACAAAGGGTGATGGAAAGATATTTAGTGAACAGGCTACAGTATATTCTGCTCATGTATTCGCCCTGTTTCAGATTGTAATGGCGGCGGGATAGTCTAGTAGTTAAGCCGAAGACCAGGGTTCGAAATGTGTGAAGCCCATTTCTGGTGTCGCCCGCAGTGATATTGTATAAAATATTGCTGAAAGCTGCGTAAACCTATACTCACCCTCTGACTCATTTCAGTTTGTGCGACCAGCCCAGTCGCCAAAGGCGCTGAATTTTGCTCTGCAGATTTGCGCACCTTGGGCACACCAGGAACCTATGATGGTTGGTTCGAATCTCGGTGCGTCCCCATGATGTTTCTAGGTTTGTCATTTCAATACCTGTGCTTGTCGGTAGATGTATCAGCACGTACCATAACGCACGCGTGTATGCTTCCAAAGTGGTAAAGGTCCAAAACCTGCATTACTTCGGGTTTCCCTCCCACGTTAATCTGGTACGTCATGACATAATTAGGATTCTGTCCAAGACGGCCATAACCTCCCCGCTCTCTCATTTATATATTCGTGTAATAGATTTAGCTATACATTCTTATCTTGCCTCACACATAAATGTCGTTTTCTGATTGGCTGAGCGCTCTTCTATTATTTTCAATGTACCCTGCTTACAAGCGAGTAACATTTTCTATGTACCCCCTATGTACTCACTTGGTACCTCGTAGTAGTGATTCTTCATCTCGAATAACATTGAATCATGCATGATGTACATGCTATGATCGATACCCGTGCTTCAAACAGTTCAAAATTACCATTGAGGTGTTCGGTAAGATAAATACGTTGTTCACTGGTCCCTCGGGGTCCATGGGTTGATGTTCACTCAATGTTGCTTTATGTTCCCCTCACCCTTCGGGCTCAGGGAACATAAACAAATATCGAGGGTACATGTCCCCCTCGAGACCAGTGAACAACTTATAATATATCTCATTGTCTTGACTATATCCCATCCTTGAGCACAGCGACCGGGTTAGAAATGGTCTTCAGAAATCCATTGTCGGATCGGGTGGTCAGGCTCGCTGACTTGGTTGACACATGTCATCGTATCCTAACAGCGTAGATTGATGCTCATGCTACTGACCACTGGATTGTATGGCCTAGACTCGATTATTTACAGACCGCTGCCATATAGCTGGTATATTAAACAGCAAAGAAACGTTGGGCATAGACAATAACAAGTCTCCCCCTCTAGCAACAGTATCATAATAAATAGACCCATGAAGACCCGGGTTAGAATTGATCTTCAGTAACCCATGCTCGTCGTACAGTACTTTTAAATCTTTTTTACATACAGAGCAATACCTACACGATATTAATCTTAGAAAATTCCACGTTTCATTAACCAGATTTAGATGCTCTTCACATGATCTTGTGATCGAGAAGGGCAGATATTATAATATTCCAAGAGATAACAGATTGTGAAAAAATTGTGCACTAAATGTAATTGAAGATGAATTCCACTTTTTGCTGGTTTGTCCTTACTATGCTGATTTAAGGACAAAATATCTACCACAATATTACTATTCATACATGTGCTTTAAGGATGGACATCAAATGTTTTATGAAAATGGCAGCTGATTTAATAGTGTCATCGTTATTAGAATTAAGCATTTTATATATCGTTTGTGGGGCATCATTAAAGCATTTTAGATACTTCTTTCGGCGAGCAGAGAATGCCTCACAGTCTAATAATAAGTGACGTTCGTCTTCAGTTTTACCAGAAGAACAATGAGAACATGATAAATCTTCCAATGTATTTTTATCTTTTCTATAACGCTGTATTTTAAGGCATGTAAAGAGATTCTAAATTTACAAAATTTCTTAAAAGGGACTTATCATTAAGGACCCTAATATATTTTTCAGGTCCGAACATCGATTTACATTGTGAATAATGACTTAGAAAACTCGATGAATTTACTGATGCGTGCCAATTCTGAATATATATATCTTTTATTCGTTGCTTAAAAGTTAACAAAAACATTTTATATCACCAACATCTTGCTTAAACCAAACAAGAAAACCGCTTTGAAAATAACACATTTCGGACACCAGAAGCCCAAGAATACTTTCCACGTTTGTCTAGGGATAATAATAATTGATAGCTTTGATAGGGGTAGCGATAATCAGGCATTCTTATAAGTTTAATCCAGTATCTGATAGCTCTCATTTGACTCTCAATATGCATGCTATAGCGGCCTGTATCGCCAAGTACGGCTTTGTTGGAAGCAAATTTACCTACAGTAAGAAATCTTTTAAAATATGATGCATGCACATTTTCTATAGCTTCGAAATAGTTTACTCCCCAAATTTCAGATCCATTTAACAATATTGGTGCTATTTTAGTGTCAAAAGTAAAGCAAGCTGAGTCAAATGAAATAAACTTATTAGCCTTAAACAGTTTAAAAATAGGAAATAATGCCTTCTTAGCTTGTGCTGCAAGGGTTTTAGATGCCATGGACCAATTTAATCGGCTGGAAAATAGAAGACCCAAATATTTATAATATGAAACAACATTAATACTTTTGCCACGGAATAACCATTTTTTCAGAATGTGCCACTATACCCCCATTTCTAAAGACAACTATGTTAGATTTTTCCATATTCAACTCTAGTCCCTATGTGTCACAAAAATGTTTGAAGAATATTTATCTGTCTCTGCAGTCCGTTTACCATGAATGAAAACGTAACAATATCATCTGCAAAGAGAAGCAAAAGTAAATCTTTGATTTGGGAGTAACAAATATTCCATTATTACACGATTTATACATATCATGTACAAGTTCATTAATAAAGAAGATGAAGAGTACGGGGCTTATTACACAACCTTGTCGCACGCCAACGGAAGTGTTAAACGATTCAGTGTTGCCAGAATTAGTTCTAACACAGGCTGCAACAGAGTCATACATGCTTCTTAAAATATTATACATTTTGCCATGGCATCCTTTGGTATGTAACATAAATAGCAATTTCTTACGGTCAACAAAATCAAAGGCTTTCTTAAAGTCGATGAAAGCGCAATAGAATCTCCTTTTGGTCTGCAGAGGTACTTTGTACATAATGACTGTAATATAAATAAATTATCAGTTGTACTATAATCGGATCTAAAACCAGCTTGAGCCTCGTCAAGTAGCTCGTTTAGATCAACCCAGGCGCGTAAACGCTTTTCTAATATATTAGCAAATAATTTTCCAGAAATGTTTAGAAGAGATATTCCACGATAGTTGCATGGTTCTGATACACTCCCAGACTTGAATAAAGGGACAATCATACCTATATTCCATAGCGATGGGAATTTACCACTATCAAGAACTACATTAAATAAATCTTTCAAATATGACACTTAAAGAAGTAAAAGTAGATTTGTAAAATGAGGGAGGGATACCGTCATGCCCCGCTGCCTTATTCCATTTCAATTCATTTATAGATTTTATTACCTCATCTTCGGTAATTGGAGTTGACAAATCATCATGCGAGAATGAAAGCTCTTCACACTCATCACAGTTATGCGTTGAGACAAAATCATACACTGATTTATCAAAATCTGAAAGCAGTTTCGTATCTCTACAGGAAAGGAGACCTTTGAAGTAATGATACCATTGGTACGGAGAAATATTATCTGTGAGAACCGTTTTCTGAAGATGGCGTTTTAACGTGCTCCAAAATATCTTACAGTCAGGATTTCTTTTGCTGCTATTTTAATATCATCTGCAGCTTTGGCTAAATAATTATCTTTTTTTTAATTGGCAACATTTTTTAAAATTGTGTTTTGCATTCAAATAAGAATCGAGGTTAGAATCGCACTTATGCTTTCTGAAATAGTTTAAAAGTCTGTATATTTTTCGGACTTAAGTTTGCCGCATTCTTGATCAAACCAAGGAGGTTGGCGCGATTGACGGTGATAGGGTGAAATGAGTCTGCTGGCTCCAGCTCTAACGCCTGATAATTGAAGTAGGGATGTAATTTCAGAAATGGCAGAGTTAACATCAGTATACAGTAGGTCTCTGAAATCATTCAGGATACCATTCTTTATGCCATCTACCAAGTACATATGAAAACTCTCTCTCTGGTCCTCCCGTAGTTTATACCCTACGGACTTGAACATGGGTATTACTGAATCGTTACTTAAGCAAGGCGCGGAGGCGATTATGTCATGGATTACACAAACAATCGGGAGGTGATCCGACTCTGTGCGAGGTTTAACCTCAAAACTATCAATATTGTTGAACATCTCAGATGAAATAAGCGCATAATCAACAGTAAGTACTACAACCGGTCTTTGAAATGTAAACTTAAACTTCCGGGGATATCAGGCAAACTTCTACCGTTCACAATGTGTATACTCATCGATTTACACAGCTCGAGTAAACACTTTCCATACATATTTGTGACAGTGTCATATGAATTGCGGGGTTTATCAAAGTTATCCTGTGCGTAATCGTCACCAACGGGGTATATAGTCGGAACCGTCATTTACTATAAAATCTGGCTCACTCGCTGTTCTGGCATTAAAATCACCAAACAAAATAAACTTACTGGCTTCCCCATAATCAAACAGTACTTGTAAAAGTTTATTTTCTAATATGTCTATGCCGTTGTCTTCTGACGCTGTATACTCAGGCGATCTTTCTGGGTGGATGTATACAAATCCAATAAATATGTGGAAGCGTGCAGAGTCATCTGTTAATTTGAAAAATAAACAGTTCTCCCAGTCCATATACACTCTCTGAAAAGAAGAAATATTCTTCCGAATAGAAACTGATATACCACCTGAATATCTGCCAACATTATGTCGCCTGGCGGCATTGCATACAAAATTATCAAAATTACTGAATGTAGCGTCCAGGACGTGCTGTGCATCAGGACTCATTGTCTCAATACAACTGAATACATCATGAGATTCACAAAATGATATAAAGTCAGGATCTGATATTTTTGGTGTTTATACCACAGATATTCCAAGTACAAAACTTAGATAATGTGAAATACTTATCTCATGATCTTTAATATAAAGAGAAGATTCATCAACGGGGCCACCGCCAAATTCCTATCTGGACCCTTGAGCAGACGACACATCGTGAGGGGAGTCAGCCTGGTGATGAGCAGACGACGTGTTGTGTGGGGAAGCAGCGGGCGGGGAATCAGAACGGTGATGAGCAGGTTGACTTCTGCTCGACCAATTACGGCGTCGGCCGATCTGACGGATATCTTTGTTATACTCATCGAAAAAACAAAACGTCACCGTCAATGACAAGCTTGTCATAGCTTAAAAAGCTACCTTGCTCCCCGTCCCTTGCCTGTTTCATAAAGGGAAATAACTGTTGTCTAATCCAGCGAATGTTTTCGGTAAAATCCTCTGAAACTTTATTGATGCCATCCCTTCAACTGACGTCTCCCCGTTCCATAACAGATTCCTTATCTTTATAAAATGTGAAACGGACAATGACTGGTCTGGTACCGGACTTGCTATGCAAGCGATGGGCGCGGTCAATGGGAACAGATGGTGCATTAAGCATGTTCAGTTTATTTGAGAGAAAGTCTCTAGCTTAATATTACTATTCACGTCCTACCATGTTTAAATTTAATTTGATAATGAACTCTAATAATACAACTTATATTCGTAAACTTGGTATGTATATCCACCATGCTTTTGAACAAAGAAAATAACGTTTGCAAACATTGTGATTGTATGCCATTATTGTTTTTATATTTTGTACTATAGGCCTGTGGCCTCTTCAGTAATGGAATAAAGAGATTTGAATTAAAGAGGCGACTAACGGGATCGGGTGGTCAGGCTCGCTGACTCGGTTGACACATGTCACCGTATTCCAGTTGCGTAGATTGATGCTCATGCTGTCGATCAGTGGCTTGTCTGGTCGAGACTCGCTTATTACAGACCGCTGCTATATAGCTGGAATATTGCTGAGTGCAGCGTTAAACAACAAACAAACTAACAAAATCATAATAAATATCGTCATACTGAATGCAGCTTTACTCAAACAAACAAAAACACACGAAGTACTTTTAATGTTTTATTTCATCAGGCGGTGCTTTGTACACTTTAGACGCGAGCCCATAGAAGATAATGCTGAGGACCTTGAGTCCCGCCCACCAGGCCAACACCCGGTACGCCATGCTGTAGTTGTTGTACACCCAGCACGACCCACTCTCCCCACACGACGACTGCCACACCTCACAGGTGCTGTCCAGGATAGCTCCCAGTAACACCGGTCCGGGAGTGGTGCCTGGCGAAACAAATAGTTCACAGAGTTGCAACGCGCCTAGGGCCAGGAAACACTTTTTATGACATCATTTTAAGTTTCATTACACGTATAGGTAACTGAATATGTTCTATTACTGTAGAGTCAACACAACATTTACTCGATGAAACATGGAACGGTTTTGTTAAATCTTATTTATTCAGAAGTGGTGTGTCTTCTTAAAGACCAGAACATGCTTCTGCATTTAGAATAACAGTCACGAAAACATTTCAATAATCATCAGAAAATTCTGGGCCTACAAAACAGCACCACATACTTTAAAATACGTAATAGTACCCTTTTATGTAATTTTATGTTCTCGAAACAATGACTTTGACGCCGCTCACTGATGTGTCATCCCTACTAGCTATATCATTGCTGGGGCGGTGGGGTAGCCTAGTGGTTAAAGCGTTGGCTCGTCACGCCGAAGACCCGGGTTCGAATCCCCACATGGGTACAATGTGTGAAGCCTATTTCTGGTGTCCCCCGCCGTGATGTTGCTGGAATATTGCTAAAAGCGGCGTAAAACCAAACTCAGTCAGTCAGTCAGTATGTCAGTATGTCAAGTCCAAAGATGTTGAGAGTTTTTCAGTAGTTGTTTGCCGGCGGATGCGCAATATTTGGCAAGCACCAGTTTTTGAAGCACTTTTATTTTAAATATATTTTATATTTCGCTCTCAACGTATTTTTAAGGACTAAATGAATTATAAATGAGAACTAATATACATATAGTTTTTTTCATTCAGTAATTTGCATCATTACACAAGAATAGAGTTTATTTATTTACATTATATATTTCCAAGTGGTAAGAATGCATTACACGTCAGCCATTTTCATGTCGTAAAATTCTGCCGTTAGTCTATTGAACAATGCCGGCTCTGCGAGATTATGAACAGTTTTTGGGTAAATCACTTGGAAGCGATGGCACCTTGTGTTAACTAAAAGGCGAATTTACGATGTTTAAAATATGATTTGTGGTGGTGGAGTTACAGGTTTTCAGACGTGTTTGTTGTTTGTTGTTTAACGCCGCACTCAGCAATTTTCCAACTATGTAACGACGGTCTGCAAATAATCGAGTCTGGACAAAACAATGCAGTGATTGATATCATGAGCATCGATCTACACAATTGGGATACAATGACATATGTAAACCAACCCGATCCCGTTAGTCGCCTCTTAAGACAAGTATGGGTTGCTGAAAACGAATTCTAACTCGGATTTCACGGGCTTGTTTTCAGAGGTGTGAAAGCTTAACAAAAGGGAGACCCGTGAAGATCCGGGTTAGAATTGATCTTCAGTAACCCACGCTTGTCGTAAGAGGCGACTAACAGGATCGGGTGGTCGGGCTCGCTGACTTGGATGACACATGTCATCGGTTCCCAATTTCATAGATCGATGTTCATGCTGTTAATCACTGGGTTGTCTGGTCCAGACTCGATTATTTACAGACCGTCACCATACAGCTTGAATATTGCTGAGTGCGGCGTAAAACCCAACTCACTCACTCACTAACTAAGAAAAGGGATCGGGTTTTTAGAGTGGTTGGCGTGTTTCCTTTCAGGTGCTAACCTTCAGCTGAAGGCGGGAGTAAAGAGGTGAACGTAAGACCACAACCATCCGACCCACCAACTCCTGGACCCCACTACTGGATGGGGATATAACCGACAGTGGATAAACCCTCACCCAAGAGCCGCGCAATCAGCAGCTGGAGCCCCAGGGCTAGAGAACGCTGCTTGTGAGGTACACACCTGTTTGGTATAGAAAAATGTACATCTCAAATTATTATCAAATTCGATCTCTATATAAAGCCACTCAATTATTTAACTGCCATAAAATAAGTGTATTGCGCAAATTTGTAATATTATCATGCACCATTTACAATCAAATACTAATTAACCTGTCCAGTTATACCTTTATCCGCCATTACTCAAGATGTTTTCCTGTTAACCCTCAATATGGTATGCATATAGCCTTGAGTGTAATAAAGTTCTGTTCTGTTCTGTAGAAGAAATCATCTGCATCAATGTACACATTATTTCACAGTTAAGTGTTGGTTAACTGTTACATTCCTTTTTCAAAACACAGATGACATCGAACAGGGACGTCCAGAATGGAGACAATTGTTCAAAACGGAGGCACTGACCAAAATGGAGTCAATCAAATCTGACTGTAAATAATCGAGTCTAGACCAGACAATCCATTGATTAATCTCATGAACATTGATCTACGCAACTGAGATGCGATGATATGTGTCAACCAAGCCAGCGAGCCTGACCACCCGATCCCGTTAGTCGCCTCTTACGACAAGCATAGGTCGCTGAAGACCACGTCTAGCCCGGATCTTCACGGGTCTCAGTGGTATGCATTTGCATTAACATAACAAACTGCATAGAACAACAAGAAAGAGTGGTCTGAAGGCAGGCACCCAAGATTGTTGTGCTCACCTGAATAGCACAGAGACCGTGGGCGCCATCGTGCTAAAGGTAAACAGCATGATGAAGAAGAACATCACAGAGAACACGTAGAGCCAGAAACAGCCCTCTGCGCATGTCCCTGATTGAACCAACCGCATGGCCCCAGTCTCCCGGGTGATCATGGAACTGTTCGGGGTACTGTAACTGGGTAGCTTCTTGTTGAAACAAGAACAGTTGTCGTAAATCTGAAACATTGCATACATACCACGTATCAGCCAAATGCTACAGACCATTCCTCATGCATTACTTTAACTAACTTTTGGCTCTCACCATCTGAAGACTACGTTGGTGTATACCAGTTAAAAAATTATTATTAGAGGTCTGGGTATGGCGCACTGGCTGGCCAAGTTACTTATAACCACCTTCGACTTCTGGAACATTTGAATAGTCAAGGCAAAGTAACATTTGACTTGGAACAAATTGTAACAGAAATGTTTTCACCACAGTGCATTTCTATGAGGTCCCTAGGACACCATACCAAAAGTCCTAAGGAATCCCAGCGTGGGAAATTTGTTAAATTGCATAAATCAAATATGGCCGCCAAATATCAATAATGTATGATATATATGCTCTCAGAAGACACATTTGGATGATTTAAGTTTTGAAACTGGGGTATTTGGCAGCAAGGATTCACGTAATATATGTTGTAACATGATTTGCTTAATAATTCATTCTAAAAAATCCAAAATGGCCGCCAAAAATAAAAAGATTCTCACATTTATGGCATTAAAACACGACGTCATATAAAGTTCGCAAACAGCGTATTTAGACACTACCATCGTTCTAGGGTATATTCCAAATGAATTGACGTTAACACTGACTTGCGACAGGCGTAGCGCCCAAGTTGCTTGTTGAGGTTACACAAAGGGTGGGGTAGCCTAGTGGTTAAAGCCACCCGTCACATCGAAGACCCGGGTTCGAATCCCCACAAGGGTACAATGTGTGAAGCCCATTTCTGGTGTCCCCCGCCGTGATGTTGCTGGAATATTGCTAAAAGCGGCGTAAAACCAAACTCAGTCAGTCAGTCAGATATTGAAATGAATAGTTCTGATTGAAACGCCAATGTCACAATTCAAACGTCATTTTCATCATTTCTGATACATCGGGCAACTGGGTATTTCTGCAAATTGTACAACGGCGTTCTCTGCATATGGTGGCGCAATGCAGATCTGCTTTCTACACATACATCTCCTTGTGTTGCAATCTTTCTTGCAACTGCAGCAAATCACATCCCGCAGTTCTGGTGGTGCTGCTGGCTGATTGGTTTGTATTGGCATACACCTTCCATCAGAATGTGCCAACCCCCGTTCTCGGGTTTCAGGCTGAGACGTTTTCCCTTCCATGCCACCACCTACACATGGAAACTGTGGTAACCTGCAGCTGCTGATGTCGGTGGAAGAGTCTGTGGATCCATAGGAGAAGTACTTTTGGATACTTTGTCACACAAGCGAATCAAGCGTTTCCTCCTTGATGCCGCCATACAACCACACTATAGCTTTCTCTCCTTCTGCAATTATATCGTTTCTGGCCACGTATTTATCGTGATTGAAGAACTTGGGTTGATCAGTGAAAATGACATCATGTGTCACCTTCTTTAATACTAGACATTTTCCCAGCCCAAATAGACGAGATGTGGCGTCACAACCTGAAATGGCGTGTTTCCTTACATTGACCACACGTTGCTTCTTTCCTTACAATGACAACCACACGTTGTTTCTTACATTGACCACTTGCTGTTTGTTTCCTTACATTGACCACTTGCTGTTTGTTTCCTTACATTGACCACATGTTGCTTGTTTCCTTACATTGACCACTTGCTGTTTGTTTTCTTACATTGACAACCACACGTTGTTTCCTTACATTGACCACTTGCTGTTTGTTTCCTTACATTGACCACTTGCTGTTTGTTTCCTTACATTGACCACATGTTGCTTGTTTCCTTACATTGACCACTTCCTGTTTGTTTTCTTACATTGACAACCACACGTTGTTTCCTTAGATTGACCACTTGCTGTTTGTTTCCTTACATTGACCACTTGCTGTTTGTTTCCTTACATTGACAACCACACGTTGTTTCCTTACATTGACCAATTGCTGTTTGTTTCCTTACATTGACCACTTGCTGTTTGTTTCCTTACATTGACCACTTGCTGTTTGTTTCCTTACATTGACCACATGTTGCTTGTTTCCTTACATTGACCACATGTTGCTTGTTTCCTTACAATGACAACCACATGTTGTTTCTTACATTGACCACTTGCTGTTTGTTTCCTTACATTGACCACTTGCTGTTTGTTTTCTTACATTGACAACCACACGTTGTTTCCTTACATTGACCACTTCCTGTTTGTTTCCTTACATTGACCACTTGCTGTTTGTTTCCTTACATTGACAACCACACGTTGTTTCCTTACATTGACCACTTGCTGTTTGTTTTCTTACATTGACAACCACACGTTGTTTCTTAGATTGACCACATGCTGTTTGTTTCCTTACATTGACCACTTGCTGTTTGTTTCCTTACATTGACCACTTGCTGTTTGTTTCCTTACATTGACAACCACACGTTGTTTCCTTACATTGACCACTTGCTGTTTGTTTTCTTACATTGACAACCACACGTTGTTTCCTTACATTGACCACTTGCTGTTTGTTTCCTTACATTGACCACATGTTGCTTGTTTCCTTACATTGACAACACACGTTGTTTCCTTACATTGACCACTTGCTGTTTGTTTTCTTACATTGACAACCACACGTTGTTTCCTTACATTGACCACTTGCTGTTTGTTTCCTTACATTGACCACATGTTGCTTGTTTCCTTACAATGACAACCACACGTTGTTTCCTTACATTGACAACCACACGTTGTTTCCTTACATTGACAACCAAAAATTAGGAACGGTCCCTTATACTGACACTCGGAGTACTTATAACTAGAATACTGTTCAAAGGGGCGTCATTCTAAAACCCACTCACACTCCACATGCCACACAACACCATCTTGGATATACGGCCATGTATCCAAAACGTCTTGTGACTAATTTGCGTGTTGAAGTTACATACGGATTCGTTTCTGAGACGGTTTTCTAGTCTAATCCAATACCTTACCTTTGTTCCATTCAGCGTTGTAAATGAGGTACACCCCGCGTGACATGGAGAGAAGTAGACGACGGTGGAGTTGACACATATCGGTTCGTACCCGGCGGTAGTACATCCACACCCAGAGTTGCAGTCTGATGTTAGACCTCCAACTGGGTTGTCTCTGAATATTGTATAGCATAAGCATCAACGTACAGACACAACAATCATCCCATGGAGACATGCAACAATCATCGCTATGGCGACAAAACAATCATCGCTATGGCGACACGTTACAGTCATCCCCATTGAGACACGCAACCCTCATCCACGCTAAGCAAACAATACTCATCTGCAGAAAGTGAATGAGTCAACCTCAGGGGACACAAACAGTCAACGCCAGAGAGTATGGGGTCAACAGCTAAGGAAAACAAAATTAAATCAACTTATAGGAGACAGACATTCAACACCAGGACATAAAAAAATCGACGTCATCGAGACGTAAGACAGTCGACGTCAGGAAGGCGCAGAACAATCCACGTCTTCGAGACGCAAGACAATCGACGTCAGGAAGGCGCAGAACAATCCACGTCTTTGAGACGCAAGACAATCGACGTCAGGAAGGCGCAGAACAATCCACGTCATTGAGACTCCAGACAATCGACGTCAGGAAGGCGTAAAACAATCCACGTCGTTGAGACGTAAATCAATGGATGTGAGGAAGGCGCAAAACAATCCACGTCTTTGAGACGCAAGACAATCGACGTCAGGAAGGCGCAAAACAGGAGGCATTAGGGGGCACGCAAAACAGTCAACGTCAAGGTCTATAAGAATATGTCCGATTTCAATTCACTTTTATCATGATCGCATAATTTACGGGAGCTGTATGTGTATATGGATTAGGTGCGATACTGACATGCCGGCTTGGTACGACGTTGTGATGCCGGATAGGGGAGTGTCTTCACACCAGGCCAGGAAGGAGGGCGACAACAGTAGACAATACACACAGCAGCAGAAGCGGCACATAGACGCAGAATACCCCGGCATTTCAGATCCAACCGTTTGACGAGGTACCCACCCAGGATCATACCCCCACCAGCACCCGGAACAGTCACGATACCTGCAGCAACAACATCACAATATCAACATCCGCAAACACCCGACACCGTCACGATACCTGCAACAACATAGCACTATTAACTTCCGCAGAAACCCGACACCGTCACGATTCCTGCAACAACATAGCACTATTAACATCCGCAGAAACCCGACACCGTCACGATACCTGCAACAACATAGCACTATTAACATCCGCAGAAATCTGACACCGTCACAATACCTGCAGCAACAACGACATTCGGGAACTCGTTACTGGCCAGTTACATGAAAATACGCTTCTCCTTAGTTGAGAAAAAGAACGTTATTCGCCATTAATAAAAATAAAACACATCAGCGTTCGCGCATATTTCTTTGATTCCAGCGACTGCGCTGTTTAAGCCAACCAGGAGACTCGTTGTATTCTCGGCTGAAGTCTACTTCCGTTCACCTTTAATAACATTTTTCCAGATCTGGAAATAAACTATATTTCTGTAAGTGACATTAATCAGAGTCAGAATCTATACCCAGAAATGTGCATGACAATAAGCTTACCATAATCAAATAGACCTGATGTCGATGTGTACAAGACCCGCAAGATGGCGAGTAGCCATCTCTACAAACGTGTAGAGGGCCCCTATCTATATTCACTGACCAATAACGAGTTCCAGTGCAACAGCTTCCAGCCAGCATCCAACACTATAACTACATTTACATACAATATTGAACCAGCACTCCCCTACCAGCCTCGGACACCTGCTAACAGTACTAAGCAGGTTTTCCTTGGGCGTTGGAGTAACGTAGCGGTTAAATTATTAGCTCGTCACTCGGAAGACCCGGGTTCGATTCCCGTATGGTTACAAAGTGTGGGGCTTTTTTTTCTGGGGTACCCTGATATTAATGGAATATTGTGGCGGCGTAAACCAATCTCACTTTGTCTCTGTGTTCTACGTACCCATAATAAGGCCTGCTGTTGCGATGTCGGCATGGAACTTCTGCTGTAGCAGTTTTGCCCCAAATGTTGCTAATCCTGTGATGATCATGGCTTCTACAGTTGCTCCAAGGCACGTCAAAACATAGGTCGGGTTCTTAAACTGAAATTGTAAATTGTGAGTATTCAAAATCTACTTTCATGATACAAGTTTATAGGTTTCCAGTCTTGCAGACTCGTAGGATAATGAAGTTACAAAATGTCGTTTGTAATCATTATGTCAGTGTTCAACAGCAGAACCAACCACATACCACCGTATCCCAATTGTATAAATCGATGCTCATGCTGTTGATCACTGGATTGTCTGGTCCAGATTCGATTATTTTACAGATCGCTGCCATATAGCTGGGATATTGCTGTGTGCGGCGGTAAACAAAAATGAACCAACAAACAAACCATCCACATACAAGAAGCAGCATTGCAGTGGGAAAGTCCCTTATGTTCTTCCCAAAGCCTGGTGTAGCTGTTACATCTTCCGCCCCGTCACTGTGCGCCTCTGACTTCCGTTTCCGGTTCAATTCAGCATAGCCTGAAGAAAGAGAATATGCTTGAGATATTCTCTGATAATATAGTGGTGATACTTTGACAAAGTACAGAGACCCTAAACAGTTCTAATAACTGATCTGTAACCGAATACTTAAAGAAGAAGGTGAGGGGTTAATATTTAACGTCGCGTGGGCGTTATTTCAGCCATATAGTGACGATAAAGAAGAGAGAATATGTCCAGTCTGTCTTGCAAATATAATGACCGTATGGACACTCTTACATGTTAACTAATAGGGACAATTTGAATTTCCGGGGTAAAAATCATACATGAAATGGTTTTGGCAGACAACTCGAAAACTGTAAATTAGCGTAATAATGTCCAAGTGAAATTGAAAACCATTCAAGCCAAAACAAACAACCCAAATAAACCCTCAAAGTCCACACAAGTCAATACAAATATATACAAACAGCTAAAAACAAAAGCGACATAAAATAAACAAGATTAATTATAGTAGTGAGTGAGTGAGTTTAGTTTTACGCAGCACTCAGTAATATTCCAGCTATATGGCGGCGGTCTGTAAATAATCGAGTCTGGACCAGACAATCCAGTGATCAACAGCATGAGCATTGACTTATGAAATTTGGAACCGATGACATGTGTCAACCAAGTCAGCGAGCCTGACCAACCGATCCCGTTAGTCACCTCTTACGACAAGCATGGGTTGCTGAAATGAATTCTAACCCATACCTTCATGGGTTTATTTATAGCAAAATGAAAGTAACAGTAGTTCGTAACTTCTGTTAAATACATGTAGTATATAAGTGTTATCAAGGTTTAATCTGTGGTATGTGTCACTATGATCAGGTTTGCATTTAGACAGCAGTTCCGCCTGTAAATATAGGCGGCGTCTGTATGCATCTCCGAAACTGTCAAACACACAGGGCCGTCTCTGAAGCCGTTCTCACCTGGAAGCTTTTTCGGGTATCCAAGAAATGGAATGGAGACGAGGAGGAAGGCGACGAATGTGACCAGGATGCCGATCCACCACGCCCCCACCCACTGGGGGTCAGCTGGCGTGAGGGGGATGCTGGAGGTACAGGGGTAGGGTCATGGTTAAATTGTTAAACATTCTACACCACTTCTAAGTATAGAAACTCTAGTTGTACACGCACCTATCCTAAGAGATACTTAACGATACTCGAGTGTTTCATTCAGCCATATCATGTTGTGTTGTTAAATAGCTGGATTGTAGGGAATGTGAATAGCTGGATTGTAGGGACATGTGAATAGCTGGATTGTAGGGAATGTGAATAGCTGGATTGTAGAGACATGTGTCGCCTACTGACCTGCTCGGATCCACGGTGTTGATGTCGACGAAGATGCTAAGAGTCTGTCCACCTACCACGTAACCAACAGCGACACCAACTGCAGCGGCGAAGAAGGTCCACCCTTGAAAGTGGACACTGAGATTAGCAAGACAGTTGCTTTTTATTTGGGAGATAATGAATAGATGAATATATCAATATTGTTGACATATCTCTCATTGAATTCTTTCACGAGTTTGTAAGGTTAAACTGTTGAATTCCTCAGTACATTTGAGCAGAAGCGTTACTTTCTACCAGGTCACACAATGTAACACTTTCTACGGGGTCACACAAAGTACCACTTTCTACCAGGTCACAAAAGTAACACTTACTACCAGGGCACACAAAGTAACACTTTCTACCAGGTCACACACTGTAACACTTTCTACCAGGTCACACAAAGTAACACTTTCTACCAGGTCACAAAATGTAACACTTTCTACCAGGGCACACAAAGTAACACTTTCTACCAGGTCACACAAAGTAACACTTTCTACTAGGTAACACAAAGTAACACTTTCTACTAGGTCACACAAAGTAACACTTTCTACTAGGTAACACAAAGAAACACTTTCTACCAGGTCACACAAAGTAACACTTTCTACCAGGTCACACAAAGTAACACTTTCTACTAGGTTACACAAAGTAACACTTTCTACCAGGTCACACAAAGTAACACTTTCTACTAGGGTAACACAGAGTAACACTTTCTACTAGGGCACACAAACTAACACTTTCTACTAGGTAACACAAAGTAACACTTTCTACTAGGTAACACAAAGTAACACTTTCTACTAGGTAACACAAAGTAACACTTTCTACTAGGTAACACAAAGTAACACTTTCTACCAAGTCACACAATGTAACACACTTTACAAGGTCACACATAGTAACACTCTCTACCGGGTCACACAAAGTAACACTTTCTACTAGGTAACACAAAGTAACACTTTCTACCAAGTCATACAAAGTAACACTTTCTACTAAGTAACACAAAGTAACACTTTCTACTAGGTAACACAAAGTAACACTTTCTACCAAGTCACACAATGTAACACACTTTACAAGGTCACACATAGTAACACTCTCTACCAAGTCACACAATGTAACACTTTCTACTAGGTAACACAAAGTAACACTTTCTACCAAGTCACACAATGTGACACTTTCTACTCTAGGTAACACAGAGTAACACTTTCTACCAAGTCACACAATGTAACACTTTCTACTAGGTAACACAAAGTAACACTTTCTACCAAGTCACACAATGTAACATTTTCTTCTAGGTAAACACAAAGTAACACTTTCTACCAAGTCACACAATGTAACACTTTCTACCAGGTCACACAATGTAACACTTTCTACGTGGTTACACAATGTAACACTTTCTACCAGGTCACACAAAGTAACACTTTCTACCAAGTCACACAATGTAACACTTTCTACCAGGTCACACAATGTAACACTTTCTACCAGGTCACACAATGTAACACTTTCTACCAAGTCACACAATGTATCACGTTCTACCAGGTCACACAAAGTAACACTTTCTACCAAGTCACACAATGTTACACTTTCTACCAGGTCACACAAACTAACACTTTATACAAAGTCACACAATGTAACACTTTCTACCAGGTCACACAATGTAACACTTTCTACAAGATCACACATAGTAACACTCTCTACCAAGTCACACAATGTAACACTTTCTACTAGGTAACACAAAGTAACACTTTCTACCAAGTCACACAATGTAACACACTTTACAAGGTCACACATAGTAACACATTCAACCAAGTCACACAAATGTAACACTTTCTACCAGGTCAGTTTTGAAACAGAAAAAACACCAGGCAACACACCAGCAACACACTATGGCCAATGAATATTCATTAATCGTCTCTTCCTGCAGGAAACTACTCTGCCAAGTATCCCTCGGGCTCGGAGACATGATGGATAGCAGCTATCAGTCTCACTGATCATGCTCGACAAAATTAACATTGTTCAGTGTGGTTGTCTGTTTAGACGACTCCACTGTATACATACATGAATATTACAAATTACATGCAAGTGTTTACCGGTGTAGAAGGAGGTCATCTTCGTCGTCGTATTTTCATCAATATACGTCAAACCAATAGTAAACAGGGGCACGCTCCTACTCCCAGCAACATTTGGCCAATCAGAAACAGGGCATAGAGAGGTGACCAATTTGATTGGCTTGTTTCGAGGCAGGATTCAGAAAGAGACGAATTCGGCAGACAAAGATTAGAGGATGTGTTTGTCATTCCGTTGTCTGTAAACCAAATAGCATCTGGTCAGTTACAATCAAATAGAGCACCCTTATGGACCGTAAGGTGCGTGATCAGCAAGCGACTCTGGGTTACCCCCAATATTTTGTGCACAACCTTAATTTCGAGTATTTGTTTTATAGTGATTGAAAGAGTGAGTTTAGTTTTACTCCGCACTCAGCAATATTCCAGCTATATGGCGGCGGTCTGTAAATAATCGAATCTGGACAAGTCAATCCAGTGATCAACGGCATGAGCATCGATCTGCGCATTTGGGATACGATGACATGTGTCAAACAAGTCAGCGAGCCTGTCGACAAGCATAGTCGCCTTTGTGGCAAGCATGGGTTGCTGAAGACCTATTCTACCTCGGATCTTCACGGGTCATTCGTTTTATAACGGCAATACCATGGTGTTGTGTTTGTTTCCTTTGTTTATTGTTTGACGTCACACACAGCAATATTCCAGCTATATGGCGGCGGTGTATCTGGATCAGACAATGTATGCAGTGATCAACAGCATGAGCATCGATCTCCGCAATTGGGATACGATGACAATGGTCAAGCAAGTCAGCGAGCCTGACCACCCGATCCCACTAGTCGCCTCTTACGACAAGCATGGGTTAAGTAGAACGTGTAGAGTCGATAAGACAAATATATTTCTTTCATCTTTCAAGCATTGTGACGCTGGTCTGTAATTAATCGAGTCTGGACCAGACATTACTGTGATGTCTAAGGAATATCATTCAGCCAAGTCATTGAGTCTCGCCACCCGATCCAGTTAAAAATCGATAAAAATGTTCATCAATGAAACCCGTGTCTACATTCAAAGTTCGGGCTAATGAATTGTTTTGTGGGCTAGTAACTTTCAGGCGTAGCTAGTCCGACTGGGTAGCAAAATTTGGAAACTATTTCGCACACTGCATGTTCTCATAAATTCTTTAAGTGGCTTTTAGAAGCTGGTATGATGAAGAGGAACAATTGTAATAATTCAGTTGTCTATCCATAAATAAATTGTTCCTCCTAACATGCACTGATGTATAATGCTGACAGACCAAGGACCATAATCGGGAAGAATCTGTGCTTCTGATCAGCGGATCCATGCACGGCCAAGGGACACAACTCTGTATATGTAACGTATATACTGAAAGATTAATGCATTACTGGAAAGAGTGTACTCGTATCGTCCTCCTATGAAATGGGGAAGAGCGAAGACAAGACTCCCAAGAGCCATAAGGACGATCCCAGCGGCCATCAGTCCGGTTTGTGCCGATGATCCCCGAAGTAGCTGATAGGAAGGATGACGAGGAATGTGCAGAAGTCGTTGCTGCTGGAGATGAGACCCGACAGGCTGCTGGGTAGGGCATATCGCGTCTCCAAGGCAACGATGACAACGTTGATGATGCCGTTAACGATAAAACCCTCGAAGAAGTTGAAGACACACTGCCAGACGACATGTGCCTGGATGGTGTTCATGCACTGCAAGGCTCTGGCGATGAAATGAAAACGGATCTTACTACATGCCGTCGTCACTCTCTGATAAGGGGCGGTGTGGTAGCCTAGTGGTTAAAGCATTCGCTCGTCAAGCTAAAGACCAGGTTCGATTCCCCACATGGATGCAATGCGTGAAGCCCATTTTTGGTGTCCCCTACATAAGGATGTGACATTTATGCAAGATGTAGGTATCCCATAAGAACCCGTTGTGCCCACCCAAAATAGTTCTTTCATGTCCTGACTTCAATATATTTTTGGTTTACTGAGGAACAAACGTTAAAGCCATGCTGAAGACCTGGTTTCGATTTCCCACATGGGTACAATGTGTGAAGCCCATTTCTGGTGTCCCCGCAGTGATATTGCTGGAATATTGCGGCGTAAAACCCAACTCACTCACTCACTCACTCACTATTCGCTAATAAGTTTCTATAGGTATACAGCGGTGCATGTCAATACAATAATATCCTTAGCAAGAAACAGAAAGTTGGCACTTTATTTAGCTGAAGGTTTAAGGACGAACCGAATGTGTAGTGAGTGAGTTTAGTTTTACGCAGTCATTTGCAATATTTCAGCAACATCACGGCGGGGACACCAGAAATGGGCTTCACACATTGTACCCATGTAGGAATCGAAACGTAACGAACGAACCACTAGGCAGTGTCACCGCCACAGAATGTGTACTGAAGTGATTCGTCGTATTTACATTCGGCAAGCGGGTATGTTTATAACATACACCATATAGAAGGAAGTGTGTTTAGAATAAGGCGTCATGTTGTTGGTTCTCCACTGGTCTGTCTTACAGTCCCTGAACCACATTATTTTCCCTTCTTCCGCCCTTTCTGCAATCCTAAATCACTCAGTGAAGCAAGTCTAAATTTCCTTAGGTTCTGAATCTAACTGGGGCTCCTATTCTATTTAATTAATTGTTCCTATCAAAACTATATATATTCAGAGACAAAGCGTTAGTGTATGGATGACACCTACTTGGGTTTGCACTGCCCACAGCCATAGGGTCCTCGCGGTTCTCTCCCTTGTCTTCTGTCTCATCGTTACATCGGAGGGGAAGGACGACTTCATTTAAATAAACACAAAATAATAACAATTGATTGTACATGTTGACGAGAATTCTAGGTGTAAAACAAAAGCAATACACAATAACGAGATGTGATGTCTGTCCCCAGAGTCAGGTCTCCTTACTACTTAAATCACTTCAATTCTTTATTCACATAAACCACCTTGGTGGTACAAAGAGCATATATACATAAACGTATACAAATACAAATTCACATTCAAGATAGCAACATATTAACATTTTTTTTCTGAGAATCAGTGATAGATGTGTAACATATTTTGATAAATTTACTAAGTCTCGAGATTCTTTTGGAGATAATATTTTGTAAACTTTGTTATATCGGGATAAAAGGTTAAATGAGTGGGTGTTTCCTAAAAGTATCTAGTCCTTTGCAATTAAAAATATAATGATATTCATCTCCGATGCTTTTGGAGGTGCACCATTGACACGCTCTTTCATCTCTTTTGCCAGTTTGGGATAAATATGTTCAACTTTTGAGAGACCAGCCACTGGGTTGTACAAATTGAGGGATTTTCAAAACATACGAGAGTCCAGTTTTGTCTAATATATATTCATAGCTTTTGAAGCACTATTACTTACAGTTTTAAAGCTTGATACGTTTCCTATTTCTATTGAGCGTTATGCCGTGGTAGGTATAACTATCGACTATGTCAAGTAAATTACCATCCAAATGAAATTTAACTTTTGTGCTTTTTATGGTTCCCCATTTTATGGTAACCTCTTTCCCGATCGTTTGCATTTTTCCACAATTCCAGTCGCCAAACAATATCGAAAGCTTTTTGTCTATGAACAGGACGGGTTGGTAATGAGTTGGACACCGGGTACCCGTCTCAATACCCGGACCCGTTATGATCATGTGACTAAAAGATTAAACAATATAATATATTATTCTTTCATGATTAAAAGGTTGTATTGACTTTGAAGATTTAGACATAATTACAGTCACTTCTCTTGAATATATTACATGGTTAAGACCGCCTCCGTTGTGTAGTGGTTAGAGCGTCCGCTCGGAGAGCGGAAGGTCGCTTGGTTCGATCCCCGACTGCGTCATATCAAAAGACGTTAAAATATGGTACTTGTTGGTCCCTGCCTGGCGCTCGGCATTAATGGGTACAACAAGGACTGGTCGGCTCTCGAGTCAGTATAATGTGTCTGATTTGGGTATCCATGCTTCACTGCGGCATGGTATCTCAGTGGGCTAGCACTATAAAACCAGCTTCAGTCTGGTCTAGTACAAGCAGCTGCACATATACATACACACGCATGAACATCGTCATATGAGCGAAATATTCTCAAGCACGACGTTAAACCCAATCTCACCTCACCTTACATGGTTAAGATATTGAAAAACTTAGAAAAATTTAGCCCTCGAGCTGAAGAATATATTGCCATTTCTTACAAATTTGATGTCAGGAATTATCATAACGGATATCCTGGTAGGGTAGGGTAATAGGGGTGGGATACCCGAGTAGGAAATTTGGACCCGTCCCAGCCCTACTATGAAGGCACAATAGAGTTTTTGTTTCCTATCGTTCAATATTTTCATCAGATTATAAATTATAAATACATTGTCAACAGTGGAGAATTACTCTCTAAACCTAGTCTGTCTCACAGTCCCTGAACCACATTATTTCCCCCACAGCCTAGCCTTCCCTGCAGTGCTAAAGCCCTAAATAAAGCAAGTCTATCTCTTGTCTCCCTGGGGCTCCTTTTCAATTTATAATAGGTTTGTTTGTTACTATCAAAAATTATATCTATTCAGAGACTAAGCATTAGTCTACTCTAAACCCAGCTTGAGCAGGTTGTTAAATATTTTTTAAAGACAACTAAGTTAAGTGATTGGTATCAGAGACGGTTTAACCTCACTGTGCCTGCACCCTGTATGTTGTTACAAGGACCACAAGCCTGGCTAGGCTGCGAGGCATGATAAATAAACCTGGTTAAATTTCTAACAACAGATGTTTGGTAAAAAGACATGAGTATATTAAATTTTGTCACAGTAGGATATTAATAGTATTTCTTGGCAATGTACCATTGACGTAGATTATCAAAAACTGTACAGATCAATAAAAATGATATTCTGTTTCAATATAACCACAGTTACAGACTTTACAAATTCTTTCATTCCTTGGTACACTGGGATATCTGCCTTCCTCAATGGCCAAAAGAATGTGAGCTACAGCGAAATTTAGCAAGTGCCAGTCGAAACTTATGGACTGTAATTACTGGTTGTAATTAAAGGTTGTTTGTACAACATATACGAGGTAGACATTTACATGTGGTTTGGGCTTAAAACAGGGATGTATCTTGAACCCGCTCTTATTTAGCCTTTTCATCAACGATTTAGCTCTCGAAATTGAGTCAAGTTGTGAACCAGGTATCCAACTTCACCCAGATATAATTAAGGTTTTCCTTCTTTTATTTGCGGATGATGTCATACTTATTTCAGACACAATATTTGGACTTCAGAAAGGCATTAATTATCTTGAAAATTATTGTGATAATTATAATATATCTGTTAATATGGAAAAGAACAAAGTCATTGTCTTCAAGAGTGGCTGATAACTCTGTAAACATGAAAAGTGGTACTATAAAGGTTGTAATTTGCAATGTCTTACACATTATTAATATTTAGGTGTTGTCTTTGCAAAACTCTGTCTTGGTCAAAGCATGTTGATAATGTATTAATACAAGCCAAACGTTCCCTATTTACTATTTTGAGCTCATTGCCACAACTCAAGCCACTGCCTTTGAAACTGTTTTTTAATATTTTCTTCTCTACCCCAATTTTAATGTATGGGTTGGAGATCTGGGGTCTGTCATATTGTAAGCAAATTGAATCAGTACATGTTCTTACGTGTAAACGGTGTTTGGGTGTTAAGTCCGCAACTTCCAATCACGTTGTGCGAGGAGAATGTGGTAGATACCCACGTTATATAACCGTCTATAAAACTTGTATAAAGTAAAAGTACTTTAATATGCCTGATTACCGATTTCCCCCCAAAAGCTATATGTTGTTGCAATTGTCAGTTAATGGAAAATGTAACTGGACTTCAGGAATAAGATCCCTTTTGTATTAATATGGTTTTGGATATATTTGGGAAAGACAAAAAGTAGATTGTGCTGAAGTTTATCTTTCAGAGTTTGTTTTCCGTCTGAAATGTTCTTATGAACAATAATGGCGTACATGTTAAACTCCAGATATATTATTTCCACAAAGGCATGAAATGCATAATAACAGGAAAAGGTTTACAAAATTACATTAAATGATTCTCTAGTTACAGTTTAGAATAATTTGAATCTATTTGAAAGTAGTATGTATTGGTGAACAGAGTCTAAAATAAGCAGATTTATGATGTTGCTTGAAGTTTGATTACCATAGAGAACTGAAGTCAAAACCATTAGTGTAAAAATATTTATCTGATCTTATTAAGTCATAACAAGGGCAAGGAAAGAAGTAATGGAGAGAATCTTCCCACGGATACCCACATGCACAATTCGGATTATTTGAGATATGTCTATCAAAACAATGAGCGTTCAAGTCACTACAACCCAACCTGAGGAGAGCATGGATTTTTTGACAATAATTAGATCCAAAGTGTTTATCAAAGAGAATATTTCTTTGTTTGGCCTGTAATCGTGTTTTGAACGAATTTACTGATTGTGAGTTAATTATTTCGGTTGGTAAATTGTTCCATAAACGTATGGTGTCTGGTTAAAAGGAGCGTGCATACGACTCTATATGGCACCGAATTGTGCGAATACTATCAGTATTTCTCAAATTATAACAACTAAAACTGAAACATGTTCTGGAATTAAATCAGATAAGTAGTGTGGAGTAAGGTTATTATTCATTTTGTAGTTCCTCTCACGGCTCCACAAATCGTTCTTAGAGCGTCTAATTGTAAATTTTCTAGAATCATAGACTGTTCTTTCGTACAGTTGTCCCATAAGTGACATTCTAGTGTATGTTTAGTTATTCTATATTTAAATCATGATTACCTATGATAGTGTCTATATCACGTTGTATATTAGTTACACTCGTGTTCAACTTGTGCGTGTCAGCTCTGATATCACAAATCTCCCGAGACAATTCTGCACGAAAAGAGCGAAACTCTTGTAGAATATCACTCAGTATATCTTCCTTCAATGACTTGTATAGCTTGGCGTCCTGTTTAGGCGGACCCGGGTTAAGTTCAATATCTCCAGAAAGTTGCAGAATGTTCTGAGCGAATGACAGCTGATATATAGTATGGAGAACCAAAGTTGTCGCCAAGAGCCGATAGCCCACATGGTTAGAGCGTGACCATTTCGTCCATGGTGTGTAGCGGGTTTTTCAACATGGCCGACTTGTCGGAGACCGCATGGTTGGGTGAAAATGCCAATTCTCATCCTCCATGCCTCTGTAGACACTCCCATGGTTAAAAACGGTAATTAGCAGGGTCCTGTACACTAAATTGCATTACCTATTGGCTTCAGGGCGTAGGTTGAGGTTGGAAAGGTTGAAAAGGTACAATTTTAGAGTTTTTTCAGTGGACCAAATCTCTGCACGTCCGACCCAATCAAGGGACGTCACTCCGTCACTAGACGTTAAGTCAATGTCAAATTATGATGGCTACCCGATGGACGCACACCTTTAAAGAATGTCATTGATTAAATATGTTTTTATGAGAGTAGTTTTGAGTGGTAAGTGCCAGTGTTGCCATGTATATAAATTGCTTGGACTGGTCACACTGGTCATTGCGAAATGGCAAATGTGCAAGTAAATGTTCGGTTTGTTCCTACCTCCCAAGGTGGACAGAACCTTGTTCATAATGGCCACAGATTTAGCATCAAGGGCAGGAGAAACACAACTGTACACAAGCGTTGCTGTAGAAAGAACTGTTCGGCAACGATAAACACATCCAACCACTTCGTCACAAAGTATCATGATATTCACATCCATACTGGAAACGACAAAGATATTGTCATTCAGGAATTCTTATCCAGCCTGAAATCTAAAGTTCGAAATAAGAGCAAGCCTGTTCCAACAATCTACCAAGAAGAATTGATGGGTAAGCTGAGAAAAAGGACTTGTTGACCAGGAGGAAAAGTGCCATAGAATATGCTGAGTCGCATTTAATTGGGGTTTAAATGTACATGCGTATGTTATTATAGGCATGTATATGAGTAGTGAGTGAGTGAGTTTAGTTTTACGCCTCACTCAGCAATATTCAAGCTATATGGCGGCGGTCTGTAAATAATCGAGTCTGGACCAGACAATCCAGTGATCAACAGCAAGAGCATCGATCTGCGCAATTGGGAACCGATGACATGTGTCAACCAAGTCAGCGAGCCTGACCACCCGATCCCCTTAGTCGCATTTTACGACAAGCATAGTCGCTTTTTATGACAAGAATGGGTTGCTGAAGACCTATTCTACCCCGGATCTTCACGGGTCTCTATATGAGTAAATTATGTGAACAGAGAATACATTCTCTAAATGGATAGAATGTCAAGTGAAAAAATATGTTATGTTGTGGATCTTATTATATGCATGTACATGAATAAATTATGTGAACAGAGTATTTCAGGAGTTGAGGTCTACTTTACTTAACAGACTATAGTTAATCCCCAAATTGTTAACCTATCTACCACGGCCGACTGAACCTCTACCTCGAACAATAGGTGCAGGCACAGTGAGGTAATTTAAGCATTGATCCATTGTGGAAATCACCTTAGCGATTATAAAAACTAAATGTTTAAATTAAATTTAATAAAGATGCAGAATAAATCAGTAAATCCTGGATTTTGTGAATGTTTAGTATGGAAATATTGACACCACTGTTGAAACATTTGCTCTTCTAGTGGCTTAAAAGTGTCACAGCTGATAAACTTTTTAACAAATTGAAATTGTTTTACCTCCGTGTCTTTGCTCATTTTGGGGGATACTCTCTGGCGTATGCAGGTCTCGAATAAACGTTCCCGTGTGTCACCCCTGTCTCGATTTGCCCTGTAGCTTGTGTCTCTAAGGGTCTCTCTGGTGTCTTCAGCAATACCATTACACGCTCCCGATCAAGTACGGTTGCGTTTGGGTGTGTGTTTCAAGGTAATGATAGAAGCTCGCCGCTCGCAACCCACCTTTGTAACACATGCCCCCAGTTAGTGGTCTCTCCTGGCGCCAGCCCCAAACGAGAGCACGTGTGGTGGTCAGAAGAGCCTTAATACCGTGACCTGGCTATCTGTGATGACCCATGATAGTTTGATAGTGTTCAGTAATGTTACCATGGTGCTACGCCAGGCGTCTTTCATTCATTATCTTAAAGCAAAGCTGTTCTTTCCATTTAACAAAACTGACGAATACACACGTTATTCAGCGGTACTCAGAAAACGTGTCATGGTCATTAGCACTTTGATTAGGCATCAAATATGCAGTTCCACCCGGGCAATAAGTCTTATGTATTGTAACGTCAGCAACGATAACACAATAACGTAAAACAACAAACAAAGACAGCGTTTAAAGAGACGCAAAGGCAGTCTCTTGGTTGCGTGAAAACGATGTGCATTGATAACGCGGTCAAAGGTCTTTCATCAAGGTCCTTTCAGAATGTTTACTTTAACATTACATAGACGTGGGAATTATGACATACACCAGGCTTATCACTAAGATAACACCGGAACAGCTCTTTATTTAAATTTCCATACTGATACGTTGCAAACAATCGTCACGAATATAAATTAACTCACAGCTGGACTGTTTGGAGAGGAGATTTAACTTTTTGGTACTATTTGCCTCGGTGTTTTTCGCATACAGCTACAGATGTTCACACCGCATACCGTGTGACACAGCTGATCGTTATCGCGAAAACGCAAACTGAATTACCCTTGACTAAGCGTTTGCTGGAGTGTCCAAGATATTTTCAGTTTTTTCCTGTTCCATGCGCTTGACGACCATGTGGTTTTGGAACGCCGTCACAGATGCCGTATCAGTTGTGTTGATGACATGGAGGTCACTCCGAGACAAGGTAAGCGTTAACTGTATCCAATACACAACCTGTTTAATTAATCCACGCCATTGTTTTACCGTTCACGCTGTCGGGTTTTTTTGGTGTGTAAAACGTAGGTATTCATTATATATAAAGTACATAAATAATGGTATTTATCAGTCTATTTCTGTGTCCGAAATGACAAATAGATCCGGGTTAGAATTGATCTTCAATAAGCCATGCTTGTCGTAAGATGTGACTAACGTGAACGGGTGGTCAAGCTCGCTGACTTGCTTGACACATGTCATCGTATCACATTTGCGTAGATCGATGTTCATGTTGTTGATCACTGGATTGTCTGGTCCAGACTCGATTATTTCCAGACCGCCGCCATTTAGCTGGAATATTGCTGAGTGCCGCGTAAAACTAAACTTACTCACTCACTCACTCACTCACTGACTGTGTCCGAATACGCATTGTGTCGGAAAGCCCACGCATCAGCAGTCACAAGCAAATCCTTGGAGAAAATAAACACGTGTAGGGCGCGTATTCTAAAACCCTGATTGATCTAATGTTCGTGTCCTACGTACACACTGCTTTCAGGTGTACTGTATCCCATCAGGTGTACTGGATCCCATCAGGTGTACTGATACACCAGGTGTACTGGATCCCATCACTGGTGTACTGGATCCCATCAGGTGTACTGGATCCCATCAGGTGTACTGATACACCAGGTGTACTGGATCCCATCAGGTGCACTGGATCCCATCAGGTGTACTGATACACCAGGTGTACTGGATCCCATCAGGTGTACTGATACACCAGGTGTACTGGATCCCAAAATATACCTCAAAGTCACATGTTTAAGATAAATATTTATAACTTTCCTTTGACATATATAGATGGCACAATTCACGGTATTAATTAGTTTGACTCGGATAGAGTTTTTCATTTGATGATATGATATCATTACTGAAGATCTGACTTGTACACTTAAAGATATTTGCGATAGAAATACGTCAAAGTCCCTTGATAACACCTTTATCTTACTCTGTTTCAGATATGGGCTCCAGGGTCAACTATACCCGAACCTTGCTATGTCCTTGACCTTGTACTCAAGATTGTATTTGGAAACAACAAACTGAAGATATTGGAGTTCCTTTTTGAACATTTCTTTTCATACGGACTTTTCAGATACGAAAACAAAGTTTACGTAATTGACACCAAATGTTGCCAAACAGTCATACATAAATCGGACAAAGGGGGAGAAAAGTATCTTTCCAATTCACCCCTTGGAGGCAGCTTCCTCGGATCGCAAAACAAAAGCCCAGAAACCAGACGATCAATCGCCGCCATATTTAGAAAATCCAACATGGAAGAAAAGGGCTTGCTTATGATAAAAGACATACAGAAAATGATTAAAATAATTTCTAAAAGTAGGAAAATAAATGTGAACGAAATTACCTTGAAATTAGCCCTTGACATCGTGGGTCACGTTCTAATCGACCTTGACCTTGAAGCTCTGGACGGGAAACAGGACGAAATATTGGAATGCATGACGACGATCTTACACAAAGCCTACGCACTGGGGGAAATAGCGTACGACTCGGAAGACTTCGTGAGGGCTAATGAGGTTTTTGACAAACTGACAACAAATATTTTAGAAGACGCCCTTTCTTCGGAAGAGGCGAGGCCGAGTGTTAACCTTCCACATCTCCTTCACACGTCATGCGGGTTTGATGAGGTATTTCATTATTACACCTACCTTCCTCTACGTCCATAAACAAACTGATTTAGTCCAAAGCGAGGTTAAACGTAACCTACAGTCTCAATTGTGTATATTTCTAAACTAATACCAGACACGATTTTTTTATTTGCATTATCAGCACAATGTGTAATATTTTTCAAATACCAATACAAACAATGCATTCGTGTCTGAATGGTCTTTTGTAAGGCACCACTTCTTTCATTCTATGTGCCTTGTCTCTCCAGGCCAAGGATAACTTGAAGCTGTTCCTAATGGCAGGGTCTGAGACGACGGCCGCCACAATCCCTGTAGTGTTGCATGTCCTGGCCTCCAGACCCGATATACAGGTGAGTCACCAGACCCGACAACCAGGTGAGATACCAGACCTGACATCCAGGTGAGACACTAGATCCGACATCCAGGTAAGTCACTAGACTCGACATCCAGGTGAGTCACTAGACCCGACATCCAGATGAGTCACCAGATCCGACATCCAGGTGAGATACCACACCCGACATCCAGGTACGTCACTAGACCCGACATCCAGATGAGTCACCAGATCCGACATCCAGGTGAGCTACCACACCCGACATCCAGGTGAGACACTAGATCTGACATCCAGGTGAGTCACTAGGCCCGACATCCAGGTGAGTCACTAGACCCGACATCCAGGTGAGATACCAGACCCGACATCAAGGTGAGACACTAGACCCGACATCAAGGTGAGTCACTAGACCCGACATACAGGTGATTCACCAAGCTAAACATCTATGCGAGTCACAAAACCAGACATACAGATTATTCACCTAGCCAGACACGTATGACAGTCACCAAACCAGACATGCAGATAAGAAAAGAAATCAGACCAGACATCCACGTCATTCATACTCATGCCAGTTGTGTCACATGTCCTGGACGCCGACCAAACGTCCAGGTAAGTCACAACACCTACGGCGATGTATAGCATGACAACCACTGTCTATGTTATTCATATCCTTATTCAGATGGAGCTGCAGACGGAAGCTGATGAGTTTGTGGAGATCCTACGAAGAGCACCCGGCTCCATCCCACCCAAACTGGACAGTGCCATGAAGGAAGTTCTCCGCGTCTATCCTATTGCCCCGTTCATAAGTCGCCGCACCGACTCGGACCTCCAGCTAGGAGCTGTCCACGTCCCAGCAGGGGTAGATTATGTTCGACAATACCAAGTGAAAACGCTGCCCGTTACTATTATTGTATCGAAAGCCTTCTTAGTGTCGATTTTTAACAAAATTGAACGCCATATTTTGGGCTATCAAAACGTAATACCTCAAAGTTGAAACTTTTAATACACAAAACTAATGGTGTAATGTGAATCCTACGAATGTATTTTAGCAATAGAATCAAAACATAGTTTCGATAAAGATGGTATTTATACAAATATTTATTTCGTCTGTCATTCAACGGAATGTCTCAACAACAGGTAGTTATGATGAACATATGTTTTCGAAAATATTTACTTTGTATTTATTACTTCGTATTTACTTCGTTCGAGTGGCAGCAGAACATGTTTCGATAGAGGTACCATTTTATAAATATTACTTTCTCTATCAGTCAGAAACTTAAAATAACATGAAAGTTTTGCCGACAGTATTATTCATGTTTTACATTTGTGTTAAAGAGTATGTAGCAAGGTGTAAAATTTGCACTTATCACTCGAGTGTTGAAATCTAACACAGCCTTGAGCAGTATGTGGTGCAAACAGCACTCATTTTATCAACGTGGAATCGTTTTTCATTTTTCAGTCTGATTTGAGAATCTTCACTTGGGGAATCCATCGATCTTCCTTCATGTGGGAAGATTCCAAAGACTTCAAACCAGACAGATTCCTGAATCTCCAGTCGTCCACCAACAACCAATCATATTCCTGGATTCCATTTGGTACCGGATCACGCATTTGTATTGGTCAGCATATGGCGTGGGTGGAGCTACGCCTCGCTCTCACATTCCTGCTTCATCACTTCACATTCTTCACCATACCGGAAACTGCCGAACTACAGTTTTGCGTTGACTGGGAGCATGCGGTTGTCCATCCTGACAAAGACGTCATTCTTGGAGTCAAGACAAGATCACCATGACGACCAGCGTCCACCATCCCTGGTCGTGTCACCGGGGAACACAGACACATGTACCTGGGAGACAGTCGGAAACCAGGACTGTGGAACTGAAAACCCCGCAATCATATTCTTTCCATTAATTTGTAATTATTTAGATGAATATACACAGATATCTTGTATTTTCTTGTACAATAATCACGGAAGATTGAGACTCCAAGCCTTGTAAAAATGATTTGTCCATTGGAATTAAAACAATTTTAGATATTTGTAGCTTTTTCTGGGTTTTATTACACACTTAATGGTTATCGTCCCTCGTATTTTGATACACATATGTTTAAAAGAACCAGGAACAGATTCCATTTTTGACGAAAAGTTAAGGATTTGTCAGTCTGTGAAGCCATAATATTGGTGCCATAACTGACATCATAAGTTATCAAGAAAAACTATGTGAGATAACTGGCATCACTGGTATCCCTTAACGGCGATCCCGTGCCATGACCATTATCTTATATCTCCACTCTGGTGGGGCGGTGGGGTAGTCTAGTGGTTAAAGGGTTCGCTCGTCACGCAGCAGACCCGGGTTCGATTCCCCACATGGGTACACTGTGTGAAGCCAATTTCTGGTGTCCCCCGCCGTGATATTGCTGGAATATTGCTAAAAGCGGCGTATAACCCAACTCACTCACTCCACTCTGGTTGTGTTTCGTCTGTAGGTCCGTCTGTAGGCTACCCTGTACGATGTCATCTGCCAGCGTTATTAAAGGTGAAAATAGGATGCGGTGGTTATAGAAGTCAGACATACAGGATGGCGTTGGCAATGCAGTGGCACAATCTACATGCAGTTGTCAATGTAAGGAAACAAACAACATGTGGTTGTCAATGTAAGGAAACAAACAGTATGTGGTTGTCAATGTAAGGAAACAAACAACATGTGGTTGTCAATGTAAGGAAACAAACAGTATGTGGTTGTCAATGTAAGGAAACAAACAGCATGTGGTTGTCAATGTAAGGAAACAAACAACATGTGGTTGTCAATGTATGTGGGTTGTCATGTGGTTGTCAATGTAAGGAAACAAACAACATGTGGTTGTCAATGTAAGGAAACAAACAACATGTGGTTGTCAATGTAAGGAAACAAACAACATGTGGTTGTCAATGTAATGAAACAAACAACATGTGGTTGTCAATGTAAGGAAACAAACAGTATGTGGTTGTCAATGTAAGGAAACAAACAACATGTGGTAGTTGTCAATGTAAGGAAACAAACAACATGTGGTTGTCAATGTAAGGAAACAAACAGTATGTGGTTGTGAATGTAAGGAAACAATTTACATGTGGTTGTCAATGTAAGGAAACAAACAGTATGTGGTTGTGAATGTAAGGAAACAATCAACATGTGGTTGTCAATGTAAGGAAACAAACAGTATGTGGTTGTCAATGTAAGGAAAAACATGTGGTTGTCAACATGTGGTTGTCAATGTAAGGAAACAAACAACATGTGGTTGTCAATGTAAGGAAACAAACAACATGTGGTTGTCAATGTAAGGAAACAAACAACATGTGGTTGTCAATGTAAGGAAACAAACAGCATGTGGTTGTCAATGTAAGGAAACAAACAACATGTGGTTGTCAATGTAAGGAAACAATCTACATGTGGTTGTCAATGTAAGGAAACAAACAACATGTGGTTGTCAATGTAAGGAAACAAACAACATGTGGTTGTCAATGTAAGGAAACAAACAACATGTGGTTGTCAATGTAAGGAAACAAACAACATGTGGTTGTCAATGTAAGGAAACAAACAACATGTGGTTGTCAATGTAAGGAAACAAACAACATGTGGTTGTCAATGTAAGGAAACAAACAACATGTGGTTGAAACAATGTAATGGAAACAAACAACATGTGGTTGTCAATGTAAGGAAACAAACAACATGTGGTTGTCAATGTAAGGAAACAAACAACATGTGGTTGTCAATGTAAGGAAACAAACAGCATGTGGTTGTCAATGTAAGGAAACAAACAACATGTGGTTGTCAATGTAAGGAAACAAACAACATGTGGTTGTCAATGTAAGGAAACAAACAGCATGTGGTTGTCAATGTAAGGAAACAAACAACATGTGGTTGTCAATGTAAGGAAACAAACAACATGTGGTTGTCAATGTAAGGAAACAAACAACATGTGGTTGTCAATGTAAGGAAACAAACAACATGTGGTTGTCAATGTAAGGAAACAAACAACATGTGGTTGTCAATGTAAGGAAACAAACAGTATGTGGTTGTCAATGTAAGGAAACAAACAGCATGTGGTTGTCAATGTAAGGAAACAATCAACATGTGGTTGTCAATGTAAGGAAACAAACAGCATGTGGTTGTCAATGTAAGGAAACAAACTACATGTGGTTGTCAATGTAAGGAAACAAACAGTATGTGGTTGTGAATGTAAGGAAACAATCTACATGTGGTTGTCAATGTAAGGAAACAAACAGCATGTGGTTGTCAATGTAAGGAAACAATTTACATGTGGTTGTCAATGTAAAGAAACAAAAAGTATGTGGTTGTCAATGTAAGGAAACAAACAACATGTGGTTGTCAATGTAAGGAAACAAACAGCATGTGGTTGTCAATGTAAGGAAACAAACAACATGTGGTTGTCAATGTAAGGAAACAAACAACATGTGGTTGTCAATGTAAGGAAACAAACAACATGTGGTTGTCAATGTAAGGAAACAAACAACATGTGGTTGTCAATGTAAGAAACAAACAAATGTGGTTGTCAATGTAAAGGAAACAACATGTGGTTGTCAATGTAAGGAAACAAACAACATGTGGTTGTCAATGTAAGGAAACAAACAACATGTGGTTGTCAATGTAAGGAAACAAACAACATGTGGTTGTCAATGTAAGGAAACAAACAACATGTGGTTGTCAATGTAAGGAAACAAACAACATGTGGTTGTCAATGTAAGGAAACAAACAACATGTGGTTGTCAATGTAAGGAAACAAACTACATGTGGTTGTCAATGTAAGGAAACAAACAGCATGTGGTTGTCAATGTAAGGAAACAAACAACATGTGGTTGTCAATGTAAGGAAACAATCAACATGTGGTTGTCAATGTAAGGAAACAAACAACATGTGGTTGTCAATGTAAGGAAACAAACAACATGTGGTTGTCAATGTAAGGAAACAAACAACATGTGGTTGTCAATGTAAGCAAGGAAACAAACACATGTGGTTGTCAATGTAAAAGGAAACAAACAGTATGTGGTTGTCAATGTAAGGAAACAAAGTGGTTGTAATCTGTGGATAATATGCTAAGAGTCCAAACAACATGCTTGGTCTGTCTATCTGCAGTAAGTGGAATTACTTGAATTCCTGACACACTTATTGTTAGTGTTGTCAAATCCATTACAGGAATGCACATCAACATGGTTGTCACTTCGTGAAGGGAAACAGTAAGAACTGGACACATCAAATCATTTACAAAGCATATATATTTTTCTAAAGTCAACATTTCAGCTGGAAAACGTTACCAACACGAATAGATTCATTTGTGCTGCTGGAAACTACGCTGTTGATGAGCTGCTATGAAAGTCTTAGTTGAGAGCTGACTCCCTGACTTCCGCTGTTTGAATGCGCTTAGTGGCTGCGTTTGTCAAGCGGTATCACCTGACAATAACACCGATACGAATGTTGACTTTAGCATAATGATCTACACATATTCGCACACACATCAATATGAGCCCGTATTTAACTGGAAATAGCATTGGCGGCAGCAAGGATAGGGACGTAGATCGACGTAGATTCCATTATTGAAGACGATCGGTCAGTTGTCACTACGGAAAAAGACTAGGGGAACACACTTTCTAATTTGCTGCGCATAACTCTCTTATCTCGATTTCAGAAAGAAACTTTATTTGTACTCGGTGTTATGCTATACCATTGTTCACTCACTACCAACCAAATTATCTCGATAAAACCCATGAAACGGATGGAGAGTCTCTTGAGTCAGGTCTATCTACATGTGGTAGGTGCGGAATGTAGAGGCTCTTAACACGTGGTTGTCCAATGTAAAACAAAAGTATGTGGTTGTCAATGGCAAGAAACAAACAACGAGGAAGCCAAAAATAATATATATATACAAATAATTGAAATAATACTGATATCAGTTACACTCCATACATACCTATTACACCACATAATTTATGGAGTTACCATATATATATATATATATATATATATATATATGTGTGTGTGTGTGTGTGTGTGTGTGTGCGATGTCATGTATGTATGTATGTATGTATGTATGTATGTATGTATGTATGTATGTGGCTATGTATAGAGCGTATGTATGTATGTATGTGTAATGCATGTATGTATTTAGACACAAAATAATTGAATTAAAACTGACAATGTTACACTCATACATACCTATTGCCACCATAAGTAATTTATAGATACCGAGGTATGTCAACCTGCTCTCGTTAGTAGCCTTTAATGACAAGCAGATGTTACACGAAGACCGCTGAAGACCAATTTTTTTATAAATGATGTTAGATTATATATTGTAGCTATGTTATGTTATTTAAAGTTGCTTATTCTTAGTGCTATCTTTTATCACTACTTAAAACATCACTATTGAATAATCATATCTTTTTGTTCCACTTTAGCTACCTCTCATAAAACATGACTGTATGGAGTCTTTGACCGGCAGTTCATGTTCTGATTCTGTGACAGAAAAACAGTCTCTCATACCCATCCCACTTCCCCCATCAAGTGAGGTTGTCAATGTAAAGAAACAAACAGCATGTGGTTGTCAATGTAAGGAAACAAACAGTATGTGGTTGTCAATGTAAGGAAAGAATCTACATGTGGTTGTCAATGTAAGGAAACAAACAACATGTGGTTGTCAATGTAAGGAAACAATCTAACATGTGGTTGTCAATGTAAGGAAACAAACAATCAATGTAAGGAAACAACATGTAGGTTGTGAAATGTAAGGAAACAAATGTGGTTTGTCAATGTAAGGAAACGTAAACATATGTGGTTGTCAATGTAAAGGAAACAATTTACATGTGGTTGTGGTAAGGAAACAAACAGTATGTGGTTGTGAATGTAAGGAAACAATCTACATGTGGTTGTCAATGTAAGGAAACAAACAACATGTGGTTGTCAATGTAAGGAAACAAACAACATGTGGTTGTCAATGTAAGGAAACAATCTACATGTGGTTGTCAATGAAAGAAACAAACAACATGTGGT